GACAAAGAACCCGAGGACGGCGAGTGAAAGAAAGAGAGGTGTATTATGTACAGAAGAAAAAAAAACGAAAATAGATGACGTAGTCTCACTCGAGTCAGGCACCGCACCTTCACGTCGTCGTCGGCGGCGGCCACGGGTGCTGCCTTCTGGGTCGGCTAGGGGAATGTTCGCTTTCCGGCGTAGGCGGCGGTCCCCTTGGCCAGGGCTAGCTCTCACGGGCCTCTAGCCGCCCGTCCAGAACCAGTCGTTGCTGGCGTCGGGACCGCGGGAGCCCACCGATGTCTTTTTCAGCGTCGCAGTTGCCGATCTGCCTTCAAAAGCCCCCTTTTTCACGCGCACCACACTGCCCGGCCCCACTTCGTCTTCCTCTCTTCTCGCTTCTATAGTCCACCTCATCACATTGGCATACAGCCTGACAAGAGCTTGGTGGACAGCGTGGTATATATGCCAGTTCGTAAAGACAAGAAGGATGTTCAACGCATGTTGAGTGTGTTCACATATTTCAGCAAGTACCTGCCTAGACCGGACCATTCTCCTATAGAACTTGCTCAAGACGGAGTCGGTATTCGAGTGGACCCTCAGCCATGACAACGAGTGAAAGACCCTCAAAACCTCGCTGACCACAGCACCAGTCGTTGCCTTCTACTATGAAGCACTGGAGACTAAATTGCCCATGGATGCGTCCAGTTATGGCCTTGGCGCGGCCCTCTTCCACTATGACACAGAGTGGAGGCCTGTAGCTTATGTATCCTAATGCTGACAGAATGGGAATCTTGATACTTTCAAATTGAAAAGAAAGCACTGGGAAGCAGGTTTGGTTGTGAGTGGTTTCACTATTTCATTTATGGAAGACCCATAACTTTGGAAACGGACCACCAACCCCTCATCGCTACTGAAAGAAAGAAAGTGGGGGACATGCCCCCTCACCTACAGCGCTTTTTTCGCAGACTGATGAAGTATGACTACAAGTTTGAATTCCTTCCGGGCAAACAGCTAGTTCTTGCAGATGCGTTGTCGCGCGCACCGGCACCAAGAGACTCACAAGCTGTGGAACATGGTGCCGAAATGCATGCGGTCGAAACACTATCAGACCTGGTGAGCGACCTCACACAATGACCAAGCTCGCTGCAGCGACAGCCGAGGACAAGGTATGGTCAGCAGTCATCAACGGCCTACGGGATCACCGACCGCTGGCTCAGTCATGCCCCTAAGCGGCAAGCAAGCAGACGACTTGCTCTCCGCATAAATTACATTTACAAAATTATGAATTTCTGCCTTTTTCGCAAAATATTGTAACCCCCAAAATGAAAAAGTTGTAATTACCGTTAGTCAGTAATTCGTTTTCGCGCGAGTGAAGGCAATGCTAGACGTGCGACCGCAAAGCTCAGTACCTTATGTATATCGCGTTCCCCTCTTGCAATGCATGCTCGTGCATTTTTTCAGGTGATCTTCACGCGCGTATAGCTTCACCTATGATCTTAGTTCGTACATAAGATAACAATAAGTATAAAAATGTCAAACTTGTAATTTCTAATTGATTAAAAAAGGATAAAATAAATCAACAGCAGCCTCAACCTGTGTGGCTGCCACTTCTAGAGGACTTGACCTCCATCAAAGACTTCTAGCTCTGACATAAGCCTGGAACGCTGATGGTTTTACCCATTTAGTTTGCCTCAATAATTATGTATGTCACCAGTGACAAACAGGCAATAAAAAGAAGTGAACGGGTTAGTGCGCTGTTGTATTGATGTTTGTATGTGCCATGTGTCTATGCGCTCAATGTATACGTTCAGCTGATGCTAGTGGTAGGCATAATGGATCTACATGTGAGCATATCAAAGGTGTCCGAAGGGCCTGAAGCGTTATGGTGGCGGTGCAAATTAACTATTTTTGTAACGCATGAATTGGGCGGCAGCTAGCGCCACCTAGTCTAGCTACTAGCAAATTACTTTGCGAGACCTTGCCTTCTGGTGGGAAGCAATTTAACCTTTCTCGCGCTTCGAAACAGCCAAATAGGCTGTTTCGAATTCCCTCTCTTTGAGAGCGGCTTTTGGTTTCGAGAATGGTTTAACACCCGTCCGCGATGTGCGGTTGACAAAGGAATTGTGGCTCGAGGAATAGGAAAGGTAATACGTGGCTTGCACATGACGTCATTCCCGATGCCCTCCAGAGAAAAGGGGAAGAGGGAGCTCCCCTCTTATCAGGATCCTCCTTTGTGCCTCCCGGATTTACACACGCGTCGCTATTCTCCTCCCAGAAGATTATAGAATATTCACCTGTCACTCGAAATTCTTACAAAGGCAGCTTCCCTCTCCTCCTCTTACATGGTGTTCAAAAGTATGCGATGTGACGTCAGTGCAAGGAGCCTATAGGTAAAGTGCGCGACGTAACTGCGTACCGGTTGTCTCCGTTTAATATCGAAGTGCGGACGATGAGAAGACTGAGTGACTGCTTTGGAAACGCAAGTTTCTTCACCGGCGGAGGGAAGCCGGCATCGGTAATAAATACAGTTCGCGGAAATCTCGTGTTACGTTTTTATCTGCTGCTCCTCTCGCCCGGTTCTTCGTTAAAGGGATACTACAACGAAATTTCGGCGCTTAATTTTTGGTCTACGTGTGTTCAAAGGAGCAGTATCACATCGAACACACGAATACCTTGTTTAAAAAAATTAACAAAAAACAATTCTAAAATGAATTAAACGATTAACAAAGAGCACCTGGTGGATGTCGCTAACGCTTCGTTTGTAATGTCCGTGTGGGAATCTTGACCGCTAGTCACGGTAACTGTCTTGCCTCCGGCCACGACGAGAGAAGATGGGAAGGAGGAACTCCCCTCTTCCCGAGAATCCCTTTTCTGTGTCCCAGGAGTCGCTATTGTCCCCATGCAAGATTATAGAAGATTAACCCATCACTCAAAATTCGTACAAAAGCAGCCGCTTCGGTGGCTGGAACGACTAGGCCATCCTCTCGACGTCAGCCTCGCCGTAGCTTTGCTTGTCCCGAGACGAACTACGTCACGATTGCGTTGGGTGTCACATGCTCTTCACTGGCTGTTCTCCGAGCGCTTACGAGAGTGGGCCGTTACAGCCTCCAGGCTTAAAATACAAACGTGCCATTGTCATTTCGAATATTGTGGATTATATCCAACCTATTTGTGAATACGACGGGTATATTTCAAATTTCGTTAAAGTATCCCTTGAAGACTTATTGAGCTCGTTTTGCTCGTTTCGAGGCCGCCATAATAAGATGCAGGCGACAGAGGAACTGGTAATCCCTGCTTTTAAACCGAACGTTTCTCCCTTTCTAAATGAACATAGGTTACAGGAGCATTCCTTCTTTTAAGGAGGACTATAGAGACCCCTTTTTCCAAGAGCGTGCGCGTTTATCGCAACGTCAACGCTTTGTTTATAGCACTGCAATGGACATGTGTTTTCTCTTATTCCCCTTTCGTTTCACTTCCTCATTACCACAGCAGGACAAGTTATTGCCCTTTTAGATCCTACTGTGTCCATCTCCCCAGCTAAGCTAGAGAAGAGAAGGTCAAGAATGGCGGCCGTAGCCATAATGTGGCTCGTGTGCAAAGCGTTTATACTCATTGAGAGCCGCAGCTCGGAGCAACCGAAGTGAAAGCTCGCGCTGCAGGAGTTAGGGACCCTGGGTTCAATCCCCACCCCTGCCCGTTTCGATCTGGATGAGCATCGTACCGGCGTGCGGTCCTGTTTTACTACTGCGTGACCCTCGTTAAAGACCCCAGGCTAGCAGTCGATCGTATTGCACTGGCTAAGTCTTTCATAAACAATGCCAACCAGTGTCGCCAAATCTCAAGGGCACACTGATCTTGCGCTGTGAAAACAGAAACGTCAAATATGGTTTTATTATTTTGTGTTTGCTAAAACGCTCGTGGTCTCTACACAGTTTGTGATTGGATCTGGGGACATGTAGCTTTGGCTACAGTTCAACGTAGAATGACACAAAGTATGTATTTGTTTGTCTAAAAGGCAACGATTCCTCAAAACTCTTAACGAGATACAGAATTGTTCTTACGATACCAGAAACACACCCGAAAACGCACTTTTATAGATAAATACAAATACAAGATATATGTTTACTAGAATGGGGATACATTTTTATGGCGATAACGCCCAACTCTTATGATGCATTGTGCCCGAAAAACTAATTTTCCCTCATTAGGAGAGCTAACGTTTATATAATCCAGGAAAGAAAACATACATAATGTTGGTCATTCCCATTCTTAACAGCTCTTCAGCGAGTAAATGCGTAGCGAATTGATTTAATTTTAACTTTTTTTTTTGATGACAGTTCAGATAATGAGGTAAGGTAGGTGAAACTTTGAGACACCACACCGCTGGACAAATCACAGCATACCTCTTTTAATTTTAGCTTTTAGTGTCGGCTTTGACCTCATGGCATACCAAGGCGCTAAAAATAAATGTGCAAATGTGCTTCGCCAGATGCCGCCACTACTTCCTGATTACCGTTATATAGCAATATCTATGTATACCTATGTGATTAGGGTGTCTTATTCCGTGTGAACGTGCCTCACCACACCCCAATACGTTCGCGCCCGGCAGAACCCCATTGATCCGGCTGCCGCCCGAGTCTAGATATTAAGCTGCTTTGTGGGTTTATTTCTTTGAGGATATGCGTACTACAACGACGCACACGTCATGTTATGAATTGTACGGAAGTTCGTCTTGACCCCCCCCCCCCCATGCCACTTTTCAACGCATCTAGACAAGTCAAGAAAGGTCATGTAGGCGCAACGACCGGCACGATGAGTTGGCGGTACAGCGGCCTATACAACGATTCGTTGACGATGATAAACAAGTGCACGGCGATCTTTGACAGAGGTGACCATGACGCACACTGAATACGTTCTATGCAAGAAAGTTGACCTTTCATGAATATTATAAATTCACAGGCTACCAGCGACTAATGTCTTTAGCCTGTTGTAAAGAAACAAAGTTACTATTGTTTAGAATGGCGCGAGGATCGATTCCCGTTCTGATAGTCCTATATTGCGCAATATATCATAGCCAGATCTGCAATGCCGGTAAGTGTATTTTTGTGTTTTAGTCAAGTATTCCCACCTATGGAATGTTTTTAGGTTAGCACAACGAACTATACCCACTGATTATATAGTTAATTTTATATTTTTTATAAACACATTTGCGGACAATGCTCGACATTTGAAATCAAGCAACCGCAGCACCAATGCTGTTTGATTTTTAAATAAAAATATACATCTGAAGGTTATCACAATGTTTTTGTAGGAATTTAATCGAATTTAAGGAGATGAGTGTGTCCTATGTCTGCAAAAATGCCTGACGCTTTCGGACGATGTAAGTTCACGGTGTAATGTAACCAAACATACAGACTAACCCAACGATGCAAACATATCAATTTAAGTTATTGTAATTGATTGAGTATGAAACATTTTCTCGGATAAATATCCCGCGATCACTCGAAATATTTAGAAGCGCAAATTTTCCGTCCTGAACAATGTCCATCCATGATTCTCTGCTTAAGTGTTGAAAGTTCCCAACTCATACTTTGCCATTCTGGATGCTTTCTCCTTCTTGCTTCTTCATTTTCCTACCACGAAACAAAAAGTCACTTTCCTCTGAAGAGACAATCAACTCCAACTTGTAAGGCAATATGTATGAAAATTGCATAGAGATACACTCTTAGAAATAGGGCGTTTATAGGGGTACACACCTTGTCCCATATGTAACACCCCAAAACTGCTTTTGAACGTTCAGTACACTGACGTCGAGCTGGCGATACCAACTTTCACGAGCGGCTTGATAGCTGTTGTATATAACGTACTAAATAGCTAACGTGTGTATAAAAGACTAGAAAAAAAAATACCACTGAGGTTTTACAGCGGGGCCGAAAAATCTTGATTCTTACTGTAGCCTTTAATGCGTACATTAGCGATTTTATTGAGTTTTATCGGTCGACTATCAAGAAGCTCTTGAAAGTTACTGTCGTCGGTTTGACGTCTGTGGACTGAATGTCGAATTGTTGTTTTAGGGTGTTACATATGGGACAAGGGGTGTATCGCTATACACCCCATATTTCTTAGAGTGTATAAACTGCACACAATCGTACCAAGCGCTTTTTCTACACTCCTAGGGATCCTCAAAGCCGGAAAAGTTTACCCGACGCTTATCGAAGAAAGGAGTTCGGCGGGCCAGCTCACCTTAAGAATTAACCAGGACCTCGTGCTTAATCTACGAAGAACGTCTGTGTTTTCGGACACAATTCAGTTGTCATCGTTTGATGAGGATACTATGCTCACACGCAACGTAAGTGACGTGTACTTATTTCTTGGCAGCTACATCAATATTGTGTGGCAATGAGTGATCAAAAACAAACATTTTTGTTCAAAGAAGCCATACTGATATCTCAGTTGCTCTAATACAAATATATACGTGCTGTCAAGCAAATATTGAAAAAAAAATATATATATAAACAATTTGTACCACCACGTATGTCGAGAAATCGAAATACGTGGTGGATTTATCAATTTCTGCTGTTTTTTTATTGTGTTTTCATATTTGAAGCACATTTATTATAAAGCTTCTAATGTCTGCAGCATAAAAAAAAACAATCAACCAATTAAGTTCTTCGCCTTGAGCTTTATTATGGTCCATAATATTTGCATTGCAGTTTGAATAAAGGCTTTTGCACCTAAACATTCTTGTTGTTTTATGATGGTCTAATGTGACTTCCAGATACGATCAGAAGTAATTGAGAAGAACTTGTATCACGACACCCAACATGGAGCCGCCGTTATAGTATCCGACGCCGACGGACTTCGTGTGGTATGGGAACAACGTTTAGCCTAAAATACAATAACATTCGAAACTTTAAAACTAGGCACTTGATGATAGTTTTTTTTCCTGTGCTAAGCTTTTCAAGTGGCACCTTTTATTATAGCATGTGCCCAGTGTTTTAGCGAACATTTCCAAAAGTTCGTACAACTTGTACGGATGCGCTAGAGTAACCACGCGTGCAGCAGTCACTAATGCTGACTATGTGAAAACACAGGTAATACGTTTATGATCTGCCCCTTCGCATCCCCAGTCTTATGCCTGCAGCACGAGTAGTAAATTTAGTGCGCTCCCACGCTTTACACGATTCTTTAAGTCTTCCTAAAATTGACCGATACAGGGGCATTTGATGTCGCCCCGCAAGTTTCTTGTTAAACCCATATATTTATTTTCACAAATAAAAATTTCCGTGAAATATGTGTAATTATTTAGACAGTCCTATGCTTTTTTTTTTTTTTTTGCAACTCCTGACGTTTGTTTTGGCGAGCAGTTTGGTCCCGAAAAGGTTTTGCTTTTTCTCCTCATCCCCCCAAGGGCTCGGACTGATTTTAGATTTCGCAGAAACACCCGGTATAGTATAATATTATAGACAGAAACTTACAATCACGTGAAAACCTAAAATGCATTTTTAATAAGGCGACCTTCTTCCTACAAACCTTGAGAAAAGTACCAGCATCTTGTGTCGGCGACGGAAAGGCGACTTGTGAACCAGCGCTTTACCGCTGCTCTTCTACGCTCGGTACGTTCTGGGACGCAATAAAAGAGAACACAGAAAAGCAGCCGAGAGTGGCCTGGAACTTTTTAGGATAGCAAAGGTTAATAAAAATAAGGACTGGGCCAAGCGGCGTTCGAACCCTTTTTCTATTCTGGCGTCCGCGGATGTTTCCTACTTCGTCACACACTAGGCAATATACAGAGAGTTCATGAGAAAAGAGACCGGTGCTTTTCGGCCCGGATAAATGAAGTATGCACTCCAGAAAGCTCACACTCCTCGAGAATACGACGCTAGCGGTTGGGATAGAACGCGAAACACTGATAATATACTTGGTATGCTTGAGAATATAACGTTGCTTGGATTAAAATATGACTGAGGGAAAACAATGTTTTTTTGTTTTTTTTATGAGTCGACGTCCACCTATGCCTAAAATCGTCAAAACAATAAATGATATTGTGAACGGTCGTGAGATTTATATCGGTGAAAAACACTTCTCAGCAAGAAAGAGAATATTGTTTTTTTTTTCTTGCTGACAAGGCCTGTTTCATTGAAATGGATGCTAAAGGCACCCACAAGGATTTTTATTGTTATGGGGGTTTTAGGCTCAGGTGGACTTCGGCTCATTGGAAATGTTGTTTTTTCTCAAGTATCATTTGATCCGGCTAACGTTAAGTCCTCAAGCTTTCCCATTCTGTCCCAACCGCTAATGTCTCTTTCTCACTAAGTTTCAGCATTCTACGCTGCATCGCTCATTTACCAGGGTCGAAAACGCTTTTCTTTTCTCGAGAACTCTTTGTATACGTGTACCGGCACCAATCATTGGGTATTCGCTCCAATGAGCCCACGAAATTGGTGCATATGCCCTTTGACGGCTTAACTAACGCAGGGCGAGGCCTCTGATGTTCGAGCTTCTTGTTTCGTGATTGGTTTTTCGGTGTTCTAATTGACTAATGCCGGAATTGTAGAGCGATCATAAAATTCTCAGAATTGGCTACGTCCCACATTCCTTGAAAATCAGTCCTATGGAGCATGTAAACTAAAGCTTCTAATGCCCTCTAAACGACCCATGAAAATTGGTTGCTTATTTATCGCGCTAAAATTTGCTACAGAGGTGCAAGCTGGTGAAAAAACTTTACAGTAAAAATGTAAAAAAAAAAATCATCGTGCTAAAAAAAAAAAAACAAACAAACATTGTGCAATTAATGCCGCTACTTTGCAGACGATGCACGCGTACAGGGAAGAGCGGCCGACAGATGGCGTACGCCGCGTCGAGGGAGCGGCGGCCAATTCGGGTTAATAGCAAACGATATTGTAAAAGAACTCGGATTGGCCGTCTCTCCCTCGACGTGGCGTACAGTATCTGTTAGCAGCGCATCTCTGTACGCGAGCACCGTCTGCGAAATGGTAGCGTAAATTGCCCAAAACTATGTTTTCTTTTTTTGAACGAGGTAAGTACTTTTTTTAATTTTTTCACTGCATACTTGCACCACCTGCTTACAAGCTTGTAGCGAATTGCAGCGCGATAAGTTGAGAAACCGATGTTTTCGGGTCGTCTAAAATGCCTTACAAGCGTTAGTTTGGAGGGTGTAGTATAGCTAGAGAAACGTTCCAGCTCGCGTACTCAGCCAAATTTTAAAACGTGGCTCGATGAGTGTGAAAAATGACGAAGAAAAAATCGTAAAAAGCTAAATATTCGTCGCTGACGCAGACGAGTAAACCTAGCCTGGAGTCAGGTTTGGTGATTTCAAGGCCCATTCCCACACTGGCGACTTCTTAGGACCCTGCTCATTGAGGACTATTGAAATCTCTTAGGACGAGGGAATACACTGGCGCCATCTGTCAGGTATCCGTGGAACAGATTCTGGTGCCGTATATAATCTTTCTTTTTTTGCACATATTTCTTTCTTGGCTTGAAACACTTTTGTCAATGTTTTAAACGACCATTTCTCATAAGTAGTAAGAACATTCGAACTTGCAAACACCGCAGAACCTTTGCTCTAGTGAAGGCAGTTCCAGAATCACTGCATAGATGGCGCCAGCCTGCCAGTGCGTTATGTCGTCGTAAGAGGTTTTAAAATGTTTTAAGGCGCTCGGCCATAAAGCGTCGCAAGTGTGGACGGGCTTCTTTCGAGCGGTGCTACGATGTAGTTGAAAGTAGCAAGTGAACGACGCCGGCGAACGACCGGTGGGCAACAGATTTACACAAAAGCGTTTGGTTTTTTTTTTTTTTTTTTTCGAGCGCAGCTTTTAGGCGACCGTTTCCGCGTATAGTCGCGTCGGCATCGCTGTCGGCGTAACCGCGCGCGTTGCATTATGGTACGTCACAGACCTATCAGCATTTGAATTCCCCGCTAAATTTAGCGAAGAAACTGAATTGGTGTGTAGGTCTGTAACGTCCCATAATGCAGCACTGCGTATTCAGGTTCCACACTAAAGTTAGCGCTAAAACTGGCGTAATATGACCTCAACACCATTTCAGTTTCCCCGCTAAATTTAGCGGGGAATTGAATTGGTGTTGAGGTTACGTGACGTCAGTTTTTCCGCTAAATATAGCGGAGAAGCTGAATTTGTTCATAGTTTTACATAACACGAACTCATGTGAGGTCATTTTTCCAGCTAAATTTATCGGGGAAACTTAATTTGTGTCGAGGTGGCGTGGTGTCAATTTTCCAGCTAAATATTGCGGGTAAACTGTATGAGGCGACGGGCAGGTATTTAGGTGTAGGAGGAGAGGGTATGGAGGAGGAGGAGCAGGAGGGTACAAAGCAAAAGGGGGGAAGGATAAGGAGCAGGTGGGTACGGAGGAGGAAGAAGACACGGAAGAGGAGGAGGGTGCGGAACCAGTGTGTCAGGAGAGTAATATAGATGTGCACATTTATATGGTTATTTCTCTATTTCTTTAGCACAGTATATCGCAAAATGAAGATACCAAAAGGGTTGCGCTCTAATTTCGCATAACAGAAATGTGTAAACGTTTTTTTTTTTTTACTACCGTCATAACACTCACGTTAAAGGCCGACAAACAGAATCAATTTCTTCTGGCGCTCTTTCTCTTCCTCTTCCCACAAGTGTGAGTCTTCGAGCTACTCTCCATAGAGAGTAGGAGGTCTTCCCCCTTTCTCGATTAAAAAGGTGGAATTGATGGAACGTTTTCTGCTTTCAGGCTGCTCGTAGGTTTTCAGGATTTCACTTATTATACAGAAGTTAAATTGTGCAAGTAATATTTTCAACTCAATCGAAAACCTTTCTCATAACATTTTACAATCGATACGGACCGACGGCAGAAGCATGTGCGATATTAAAGTCTTCACACATATTCTTCTAATTTTTACAAGACCGAAACGAGATCTTAAAATTTCTCTACTAAAATAACCATTTGTGCATTTCTGAGAGCGCTACGTGCACGACCCATTTTATTCTTCCTATTTTTTATAATATCGTTTTATATAATCACGCAGTGCTACGTATTTATTGAAAATATCCTATGCGTCAACGTTTGTGTTCTTTTTAATTTGGTATTTGTTAAACAAAATTCGGATGACAAATGACAGTGCAGATGTCCTACATGTGAGATTCTTTTCCTTTTTTTTTGTCTTCTTGTTTTGATGTGTTCTACAGAAGACGAACAAGAGAGTAAGTCGTGAGTCAGCGCGGTGTCTATGTCCCTCTTATACTTGTCCTTGTGTATGTTTGTTTTTTTGCGCTGTTTTAATTATATGTTTATTATCCTATTCATCAATGACCATTTCGGGTTAGTGAGCAATTCTGTAGAAAATGCGGTACGCTCAATTACGCATTCAAAGAGTCACACAGTTCGCTCACACAAGTAATAGGATTGTTTGCTTCCTTTGACAGGTGTCACCTTGTCATTAAAGGGGTAGTGAAACGAAATTTTAGCGCCGATCTTGTTGCATAAATATGGGCTAGGGACAGGCACCACCTCGGAAATATAAATATTGCGCTGTAAAACACAGGAGAACTAATTTTAAACATAATTAAACGATTTCAAATTCTCATCTGGTGGATGGGGGGAAGTTCTCGTGACATCACTTCTGCCAAAATAGCAGCGCCGTTCTGCGGCAATAGGGCGTGCCGGCAGAATTTGCCTAGGCCTGAACGCGTTCGCAAAGCCTTGGCGGAGAAAGCCAAAGCGTAGTTGGCCACAGTGAGCTCGTTCTCGTTGCGGCTCTTTGCACGACACGGCCCGAGCATGCTTCTGGCACGGCCGGTATTAGTTGCTGCGAGTCGCGAGCTGCAAGCCGACGTTAAAAAGGATATGTTTCAACTACGAGGGTGTCAGCAAGAGCCACGCAAATGCCAAATACCTGTTTACACTCGGAGCGGACACGCGCGTTTGATCGAAGTGCTGGATTCGCTCTGTTAGACCGCGTTTCGGTAAGCGCTTCTGGACCGATCTTTTACGATTGCAACTCGATACTGACATGACACTCGGCAAAGAAAGGTTAGACCGACATCGCGTAGCTCCCACGAACTGCTATAGCTCGACAGTGACGTAGCGTCGAGTCAGAATAAAAATGGCATACTAATAACAGAGTGTACATACCGAGTTGCCAAGGTAATCATGGCGTTTATTTGAGCTCTATATCACACAAAACAAGGAGATAGAATCAATGAGAGTCCCTTTTCGACGACAGCGTTCGTCACCGCTGTCTCGGAAAACAAGGAGATCGAGATGACAAGGGGAAAATATTGACCTCTGAAATTTAGTTCAGGGATCAAACTACTCATCCGGTAAGGGTCCACAAGAGCAGGCCAGCAGGTCATGGACAGACGGTCTTGGCCAAGGACCGCCGGAGCAACGGTGCGCCGAGTCGATGTTGCTGCTAGGCCTACTATATTCTGCCGAGCTCGCTCGGTCGGCAGAATCGTGGCTGTTGTAGCTCTTCTCGTGTGTTTGTGGATCCTGCGTTCTTGATCGTGGTCTGTTTTAAGTACTCCTTCCTTTTTTCTTGCTGGTTGAAGTCGGGACGCACGAGAAGAGCACGAAGAAAGATAAATGTCCGTTGGTGGCCGATACCAAGTAACTGAGCAACGCTGTCGGCCTTGTTGATTTGATCGCAAAAAGTGCGTAAGACAGCTTCGGAGCTGTCGTAGGATTCTGTCGTAACCTGCGCAAAGGTTACGACAATTTCGTTTCGAGAGCACGGGTTTTTTCTCAAATTTGTCGTACTCACTTTTTTCGTCGTGAATTCGCTTTGAGAATCCGGCCTCAGAGCTGGTTTTGTCAGTGCTGCCGTGGTTGCCGACTTGCCGTGGTCCCGTGGTGCAGCGTGCGTGCAGCCCTTGCACATCTCAAACGGCCACGTTGTCACAGGTCGTAAATCGTCGACGCGCCTCCAAGTGGCAACGCTCGTAACCACAACATTCACGCCGTAGCCTTTCCCGACCGGCACAAGTGACGTCACGAATGCGCCCAATATCCCAAGACGCATCGCGCTCTCCGATGGCCGATTTTTGAGCGCGCGCCCAATCGGGCCCATCAGGGTGAAAAATATAGCCATCCGTTCAAAATACAAACGCGCGATTATGATTTATGAATATCATTGATCATATTGAACCTATTTCTGACCATAATAGGTGTATTTCAAGTTTCGCTTCAGTATCCCTTTAAAACTTGTCATACAATGGAATGTCTGAGAAAAGCACTGTTCGTAGTAAAACGTTATAGTTGTTAACACACCATATCTCAGCAAAACACAAAAATCAGTAATGTTTTTGCGTAAACTAGATCCTTCTTCATGCAGGAAATTACATTCTGTAAATGTGGCTCTTTTATATTGTTTGAATACTACTCTTTTACATGCTTCTCTGTTCATTCTTTGGAAGGGTTCATGCTTAACTTTGACGTAATACTTTTTATTAAACTCACTCAAGTTTCTTTTAGTTTATAATCGTTTTAACATTGAACGGGAAAAACCCGTATGCTGCAGTTCTGCATAAAAACAGAAAAATTACGTACAGTTCATGAAATAAGTGAACGTAAAAGTAACGGATATAAAACATGTCGATAAAGTTCGAATAAAGACTGTTCATGGTCATGAACTAAATATTTATTCTTGAATGTAGTCTCATGCGTTATTGCACTGGCAGTTGTGACTAAACTCTTAACGATTCCTAAGAATCCTGTACTGGTCATGATGACGCGTTTGTGGTCTGTGATACTACTTTCCTTTCAATGTTTATGTACTGTCATTTTCTTTTTACTTTGCAGTTTGCACACAGAGAAGGTCACGAGTAGTGTGGGGGTAGAGTAAAAAAATTAAAACTGCATTTATTTTTAGGAAGGAATGATTGGGGACCGACTGAGAATATCGCCCTCAGACACTGCCGAACGCAGTCCAGATGGACATCTGGCCCATGAAATATTTGAAATCGAGATACAATCTTCAGAAGGTATTTAGCTGCCAACGCATTTTTATTTGCATTCACGAATGTATATCGATATTTTTCACATTCAGTAATAATTTGATACTGATATTAGTCGTTTTACCAAAGGCATTTCCTCTTTTTGAATTTTACAAACCGCGATCTCATACCACAGAAAGAAAGATGCAAGTAACCTTCACAATTTCATAGGTATTTATAAAAAGATGCAACGCATTCCCAATGCAATGATCTAGCGCTCACTAAGGTTAGTTTATTATATTCTATTATGGTATCTTTCACTAACAGATCATTCACATAATTTTTCTACAATATTCAGATAGGTGCAATATCGAACAAAAACATATATCTTTATGTTCAAACTTCAGTGACTGGATACATTGTAAATTTATTCAAGGAATTGCAATAAGTCCGAGTGAAACAATAATACAAATGAATATTGCTACTCTCCCATCGAAATTAAAAAAAAAGTGTTTAAATTTTGTTTGATGCATTTATCCAGTTTTTTGTTTCTCACTGAGTGATTGAAAGGTAATACCGCGTTCATCTTATAATTTCACTTTTATGAACTCTAAACCAACTACAGGAAATGATATATCACCGGAGGCACCAAATGGGCACCTCGTATCAACCAATACTTCAAATCGCTTTGACATAACAGCAATGGAGCGAGCCCGAAGAGGTAAATCAGTACTGAATTCACGTAGCATGTTCGTTGAGATTTCGTTTATTATTTAAGTATACATTTTTTTAATAAAAAGCTGAATAAACTAGCCAGTGTATACAAAAAGCATAATAAAATGTCTCTCTTCAGGTAAGCAAATTTTCGACTCAAAGCCCTCTAAGCTTTATATAACAAATTACACGTATCCGGATAAATAAACACAAATAAAAATATGTTAAATTCTTGTAAACCTGAGGACCTTCAAATTTTAGTTCTGTTAAAAATGCGTATTGCAAGCTCGCCTATTGTTAGTAAAAGGTCTGACGGCTCAATCTCTTTTATGTGTGTTTCATTAAAAAGACACACTTATTAATTTTGTAATATTCAATGTTTCATTTTCACGTGCTTACCAACAGCCCGAAGGCCTCTGCAGTAAAACGCGAAACTGGAATTACATATTCACCACAAATACAGGTGTTAAAATTGATGCATATTGATTGACAACAATACGTATATTGTGTTGTTAGACATCGACTCCCAATATTCATGATTCGATGAGTATTTTCGAAGATCAATTTTCGATTTCTGTTATTTTTCACGTCAGTTATATTCCTCGATGGAACAATGACATGAGCTCCCTGAGTTTTATCGAAAGATACCTACTGGATGTTTTAAAGTTCAGCGTCGCTTCTAAAAAAAAGGCTTGTTAAACTGCTACTCCTTGTCTAAGTTCAGGTGATCATTGATCCATCAAACAATCAATATTTATTATTTTCTTGTTCTAACCAACAGGTCGAAAGTCTACTGGGTTAAGTACAGGCACTTTAAGTACACAATAAATAACACGCCTAAACTTGTGGGGCTCAAACTGCAAATTCGTAGAAAAAATATCACTGTATAGAGTTGTGTAAAATATGAAAGCACCCAAGCATGCCTATATATTAATTAAAATATGCATAAAAATTATCGTTCCCAGAAGACAGATTTGTACTCAAAATATCGATGTCAGTAAACTTGGTGTTTAAAATATGTTGGAGACGCCAAACCGGTGATGCATCTAGACTGAGGTATGGGTAAAATACTCTCAGATATCAAGAGCTCGTTCTAAATGAAATACAAAAGTGAACAGAGGTAAGGAGAGCAGACTGCCTATTGTATTATGAGTTATCCCTTGTAAAAACTAACATCCCGAACAGACTATCTTTCACATAACGTGCACAGTGTTAGTTCGGCTAAAATCGAATAAAATTCATAAATATACTTTCTACCAAAATATATGTCGTAAGTAATGTGCACAAATCGCTTTTGAATATTTTACACACTTTCACTTGCTGATATAACGAAGTTCCAGACAACAGATGCAAACTCTAGTTTCAATCGCACATGGGTACCATATAGTCACAAAAGACAGTGGTGAGTGATAAAAGCTCTAGTTAAACGAGGCATTATTCCCAGCGTACGTAAAAACAGGCTGATAATGGAGTTTATACGAGAAAAGAAAAGAAGGTGGCCCTCCACAAGAACACCTAGGTCCGGTACCTGCGTGGTCCGAACAATAGTTTAATTTTCTAGAACGTATACATACGATAAATTGTTGCGCTTTCTTGACAGGGACATAACTTTCGATTATAATGCGATTATTCCGGCTTTGATACCCGGACCAGGCAGACTTTTTCGGTCGCACACCATTCGCCTAGCTGTGTTTGGAGATTTGTGTTTGTCCCTTGTCCCTCTTGTTTTCATTTTTCAGGGAATACTTTCGTGATTCGACATAATTTTTGTTTTTGCGGGGATTGAAAGTTTTTTTTTTATTGGAACTGCACCATTCTAGAACCGAAAGAAGATCGTCCTGCAGTATGGTACAGTCAGTGATTGAGGTGACCTGCCGAAACAACTTAATGTCATCTGAAAACATAAGTACTTGAGAGAGTCTTACGGACTACTCCAAATAATTTATAAAACAACGAACAACAAAGTTCCAAGGTTTGAGCCCTGAAGCACTCCTGACATGAAATTGAAGGGAGGAGACAAGAAGTCAGATACTCTTACACCCAGTTCTGTCTTTTATAAAGATAACTCCTAAATCAGGTAATGTAATCAGGACTGAGACCATTTGTCTCTGAGTTTCAGCAGTAACTGCCCATGATTGACGTCATCAAAGGCTTTAGACATATCCAGATATATATTGTGTCTACTTGACCCCAACGCTGAATAACTGGCAAAGCAAGATTAAAAAATGTGCACACATTAGTCTCAGCGAATCTACCTGTGAAGAAACCGTGCTGGAGAGGAACAAACCTTTTTTTATATAGTTATACAAACGATTGTACCCCATTTTTTCAAACACATTTGAAAATGCATTGAGAAGAGATACTGGGCGATATTTAATAGCAACACAAAATTCACCTGACTTCAAAATTGAGATAACTATGAAATCTTTTCATTTATCTGGAAAGTTACCTCCCTATATTGATAAGTTGCACACTTTGTCAAGAACAGGAGCAAAGCATCCGCCACGTCCTTTTACATTAAAGTCGGAAATACCATCTGAGCCGTGGATAACTTAGAATTCAGCTTTCGAATAGCTAAAATCACTTCATGAACTATAGTAGTAGTAAACGGTAAACAATCGTCGAAAGTGATGTTACATTGCACGGGTAAGGGTCAAGCATGAAATTAAATTATGCGAAAACAACTCACAAACAGATTTTGGTGACATTTCGATAGCTGACCCGTTACGCAGAGTTATATTGTTAGACTCTTTCGTAGTTTGCGCTTTCACATAACGCCAGAATTCTTCGGGTCGTTTCTTTAGGCTACGCTCTACCAGTCTGCGGTAGCGATACTGCAGTAGTAGCTTTTCTTCTTGGTTCTTGACACATGGTATATTTTGCACATTATAATGTAAATTTCATCTTAAGTGATATTCTAAGTGTCTGGAAAACCACTTAGGGTGCATCTCGGGACGATTAGGCCAATGAGCAACGAGCAAATTCATGGAAACATTTACTGCGCCTGTGAAACTATCCTCCATAGAATCTACATCAGAGCGTTGCAAGACATCAGTCTAATCATATTGCGCGAAATATTTGTATAAAACAAAGTAATCGCCAGCGCTGTATGTGTACCGTAGTGCACCAGACAAGACCTTTGATCTTAAAAACAGAGAAAACGCGACTGTAGAGCGCCGTTCACATATATGCGACCGAGTAAGACCGAGAGAGACCAGACCGGTTTTTAAGCCTCTTGCAACGTCTAAGGACCGGATTCACTGCAGCGGAGCTGGTCCTAAGACATCGCAAGAGGCTGAAAAACCGGTCTGGTCTCTCTCGGTCTTACTCGGTCGCAAGAGTGTGAACGGGCCTTTAGTGGAGTGTGAAAAGTGTCGGCAGTGACCAGCGGGTCGTTCACGCGAGTCACTTTCGAAATAAAATATTAGAGAAAATTAGATTCAAAATATTACCGGAACAGTTTATATTAAATAAAATCAGTGAAATCTATAAAACTAAACAAACAAGGCGCTTTTGACGTGTACAGGAGCTTTCGCTGTTGATTCGACCAGAAATCCAGACCACTTTCGGTAGATTAAAATATCCGTATAGCAGCACGCGATATTTGGTCTCACCATTTTCATTTTCAAGAAAATTAAAGTGGTCCACAAAGTAAGCAGCATCTGAAGCAGGGGAAAATATTATTTTCCAAATATAAAAATGAACCCGTCACCAGACGGTATCTCAACCCAGACGAAAGCTTGTTACATCCCAAAATCATTTCGCCTATGAGCATTAAGTGACTGTTTGCAAACTATTAGTACACCCTCTCCGTATTTAATCCCGGAGTATATTCGCGATCTGTAAAGAAAAACGTGAAATATTCACTATTTGCAATGCCGTCATGAAGCCAAGTTTCTGACAATATGGCAATATCATATTCAGTAACTAGTAAGACAAAATCATCCGATTTTGTTCTGAGGTCACGAAAATATAATAAATAAATAATAAAGTAATAATTATACAATGATTAAAATAATTGTATAATGATTTAAGGTAAATATGGACGTAAAATGATAAATTATAATATCAAACATGCGCCTGTAAAACAAATTAAAGAGCAAAGCAACAAATTTGCACAAATCGCAATGAATATTTTTTTCTTTAAATTTCCAGGAGACCACAGATATATTGAACTCCGCCTTTTGCTGAGGATCAATTTAGCGTCCCGGGTTTTACCGGTTATTTCTGTAAAAGTGTAATGTTTTAATTTACTTGAGTGTGCAAATATAAATTTTCTGCGCTTGCAGATAGCACATATTTATCTCAATTATGCTCGATGCTTACGAGAATAACCCACCTTTACCCCAGATAAGAGGATACATGTCCAAAACACATCAGAGTCAATTGATTCACTAGGAAATAGCGTTAAATGTCTTAAGTCACTCTTGTTGAAACAAGCAGTCTCCCAAAGTGGTAGCTGCAACTTCCTGTTAGATATGACAATAGTGTGAAATTGAATTGATGCCTTTTGCTCTAGAACTACCCTCTGGATTCAACGAACAAATTACTGATACACCAATTATGTTATACTTTGCTCAACATTAATAATACGGCGGTATTACCCTTATTCCCACTGGAGGATGTGGTACACATATTTGCATGGTGTAAATCAGAACGTGATATTCTGGATCATGGCGTATTTATTTAATCGGGTGCGGTATGTAGAGGTTAACGGTGACCGTTCAATTGTATCTGAAGTGCCCTCGGGCGTCCCCCAGGGGTCAGTACTCGGGCCAGTATTATTTTTAATTTACATTAATGATATCGCGGCGGAAATAAATCAAGGGGTTACTGTGCGACTATTTGCGGATGATTGTCTGGTATATTCAAAAATCGAGGGGCAAGACGACCAGCGCAGATTAAGTGCATCTGTTGGGTCTATTCAGGACTGGTGCTCGAAATGGAAGATGAAAATTTATACACAAAAAACTGTTTTCGCACGAATAACAAACAAAACTAAGAATGTTCTTTCTTATACTTACGAGCGTGATGGGAGTCCTTTGGTTGAAGTTGATAGTTTTAAATACTTGGGTGTGACACTTTCTAAAGACTTAAGTTGGAGTAAACACATAAATGAAATATGTCACAAAGCAATGAAAAAGCTTTGGTTTTTAAGACGGAATCTGACCAGTACTCCGCCTAAAGTGAAGTTAATGGCCTACCCTACCGAAAAATCCGGTATAACTTTTCGCTATCCGGATTATGGAACCGGAAATTTATCTGGAATCTATCCGGAATCTATCTGGAATTTAGGTTTTCAGAAATAATTCCTTTGTCTGCAATCTGGATTTCGGATTTCCAGTAACAAATTTCCGGTTTCATAATCCGGATAGTGAAAAGTTATACCGGATTTTTCGGTAGGGTACACAACGTATATTAGGCCTACCTTGAAGTACGTGCATCGGTATGGGACCCCTATAGAAAAATCAAATTGGTGAACTCAAAAAAGTTCAGGGGAAGGCGGCGCGATATATATCCAAATACAAGCGACTTGATTCTGTCACAGATATGCTGAACAGCCTCAATATCCCCTTACTTTCCGTCCGTCAAAAAATTGCTCGACTAAAGTTTTTCTTTGTGTTTTCTCATCACCTGTATAACATTAACCCGGATTCTAGATTAACACATCGCGCATCGAGAGAACTCAGATACGTTAGCACTAATCAATTTGAAGTGCCCAAATGTAATATTGACGCTTATAGGTTTTCTTCTTTTCCTAGAACTGTAAAAAACTGGAATGATCTCCCACAAAATATATTGTCATTGGACTGTTTAGATGATTTTGAGAGCACCCTTTTGAATATGACTGGTTTGGAATGATAAATAGTAGTTAAATATTTTTTTAGAAACTTCGTTCAAGATTTTGAGTGCTGAGAATTCATTTTTTTGAGTGCTATATAATATATTGAATGTTTGTGCTATTTCAACCCCTTTACTTTAAGTGAATGTCGCTGAATGTTTACTGTATTGCAGTCCTGATGTTGTATGTTTCAGTGATCTTCTATACCCCACACCTGTTAAAGCCCCATACTTGGGGTGAACAGTATTCATAAATAAAATAATAAATATATATATATATTTATATATATATATATATATTGCAATATTTTCCAATGTATGAGTCGAGTTCGACTTTCAAATGACAGTGGCTATATATGACAGTGGGACTTTTATGCCTTTTTTACATCTCTTAACTGTGCAAGGTATAGGCCTACGTAGGTTTATGTTTCTTGTTCTATTCGTTGGCCAGAATTTTGAAACTTGCTCTCGTGTTTGTGTATATCGCGACCACAATACAGATATCCGCGCCTAGTAACAATGCAGTTTTGCCGCGTCGATAGTAAAAATGCGATTATAGGCCAACTCTTTCGTGAAAATGGTTGTTTAAACAAGGGTGCGACTTATACAATGGTTGACATATCAACACACGTAATTTTTTTTTCTGTTTATCCATCTCTGTTTTTCCGTTTATACAACGGGAAGTAGTCTTTATCATCCGGTGTGGATGATTAAGTAGGCCCTTGCTGTACAAAGTAGTTCATTGCTGTATGACAGCTATAGCCTGAGGTTATTTACGTGCTTCATGAGTAATCATACACGATAGCACGCCGGTACAAGGCTCATCCACATCAAAACGGTCAGGGGTGGGATTGAACCCAGCATCCCTGCGTTTATTGCGCAAGCTTTTGCTCCACGTGCTTCAAGCTGCGGTCAGCTCACCCCGCCCCCAAACTCCTCCGACTTATAGACAGAAAAATTTGCTAAGTGTAACAAATAAACAGAATCAACATTTTTAATGATCTGCCTTTTATACAGGGATAAAGGTTATTATTACACCTGAGGTTCATCTCCTAATCGACTCGGCCCTTACAAAACAATTTAACGACACAGAAAGTATCGTCAGTTATTACGCAGTATTCGCTGCCTTTGTAAGTATTCACTACACGTTTTCCAATTTTCTCAGTGCGTGTAATAAATGGAGTTTGGATTGCCCAAACCACGAGATCGAGGCGCACTGGCATCATGAATTTCGTTATCTCCAAGTTCGTTTTATCGGTACTGTTCATGGAATTAGACAATACACTTCGTTCATAAAGGCTTCCATGCATGACCATTAAGTATAGAAACGCAATGGGTTCCGATTACTGGGTATAATATCAGTCATCATTATTTGCACGCACAAAACATATTCACGGAAAAAAGCATAAGCACTGCTCTATTAGTGCTATTTTAGAATGAGGGCTGAATGTCTACAATAAAACATTTAGTATCTCAGCGCACACCAACAATCATACGCTTTAGCTAAGCTATTTTAAAACTGAACAAAATGTAACATTTCTGTAGAGTAGTAATGCTATAAATGGCCAAAGAAGTGAATAAATTGTAAATATACCTGGGTCATATCATTACAGCTGAATTTAAAATTTAAAACTTTGGAAGAATGGCTTGATGTGCAGCTTGTTATTACAAAGATTACGACATATACGGTGAGTTAAACGACGTTTATTTTCACGACCTGAATCATTTCTGCGGGCTTAAGATTTTTATGGTTTATTTCACACAACGTGCAGCTGGTATTATAAAGCTTTATTCACAAGTTATGCAGCTTTTGTTTTCTTTCACTTTCTGCCATGATACGTGCGTATTCTTTTCTTGTGTATAGTCAGTTATTTCTTTATAAAGGTGGGAATTAATATGTTAGGTCTCGCTAGGCAAAATGGAAGACACAAAGGCACTGGAATTAAAGCGTAGTTATAACTTCAGCTTTAACCAACCTAGCTAAACTATGGGTCGAAAATGTTGAATTAAGGAATAGAGGAAGATGATTGTAAACCTCTCTATATTGAAACCGACAGCATAGTGCGGTGTAGGTTCTTGATATGAAGTGTCTGTAATTAAGATGCATACATTTAAAAAGTATAAGAATTGTAAAATTTTAAAAAATAACAAGGTGAAGGTGACTTTATGGGTTCTTATGGGTGTGACACTTTTTTATGTCCATGAAAAAAAATTGTGGACATTTTGTGTCAACGGTAAGGAACAAAAAGAAAGAATTACAAATAAATATCCCGTTTGGTTATTTTTTGACCATTCTGGGAATATAAAGCAGTTTGGTCTGTGGACACAGCCAGCTGGCCTTTCGTTAAGACAGTTGATTTTACATATTAACTATCTAAGAAATACATTTTACATGATAATATTGGCCGTACAATACGTGCCATTCGCTCCGCTTGAAGCATAAATGATAAATTAACATAGCATCTGATCAAAACGATTTCAGAACACAAGCGAGACCTTTGTTAAGAAGCCACCAGGAAATGAAAGTGTCATACTCACAGACAGCCTAGAGAAATTAAGGCATTTTATCAAGAACAAAAGCGAATTTTCAACCGATGACCTTGTGGTATTACTAACTGGGTATGTATACAACCTGCAAAGCAATTAAAACTATGCCCTAGTGGGTGAAACGCCAAACACTGCACACTAGACTAGCATGAACTATGCTTCTGTTATAATGTAAGAAATTTCTGTTCAACCTGCATTGATCTCAGAGCCCAAAATAAATTTCTTTGCTGCTGCTGATTAGAAACTCGTTTTAAAAGTCCGAACCTTCTATTACTTTAACTGATATCCCGTCATAACCAATAAAGAATAAATAATTTATATGCCCTCTAGTAAGCTACATTTGTTATTTCTTACATGCTACTTGTTCAATGCCGTAGCAAAATATTTGATGTCCATCAAAGGGGGTCCCAGTTACGTACAGAATATTGCAGCAAAGCGCTTCCTGCAAAAAAAAAAAAAAAGTCAACGAAAAACAACCACTGAAATATCGAAGTTTCTTTGCGCCTAAACGGTTCCCATGTGCCAGTCGATCTAACTTTGAGGCAATCCAACGATTATAAAACTTACGAAATACTTCTTACGAGAGAGTCAATGCAAAAACGAATGCCTCCTTTCCTTTAGGAGAAATCTTATTCAGGAAAACATGTTTTTGTAATGGTGACAACTCGAACGATTTCTTGCTCGCAAAGAAGAGCGAAGATGTGTTTTGAAGTGAGATTTCTTTTCCGACACATTAGCCGCATGTTATTCTTAAATAGCTAGGGAAAGAAATGTTTGTTTTTAATTGTATTTCAGTAACATGAACTGCATCGTATATTTAGTAGTTCTACTTCGTTTAATACATAGTGTACTGCAACAATGTCGCAGCTACTGACGCGAGCACGTTACCTTTGTTATGCGTCCCAATTGCACGCGAGCGCCTGAACATACATTATTTGAGTTTTTGATAACATTTCATAAAACTATTTTATTTCAATCGTTATACAATGCAACCTGAAGTTCCAAGAGTTACACCGCAAGATATGAACTTAACAAAACCACTACTTTGATGAATTCCCTTGGAATATAAACTTGGTGGCAGGAAAATAGTGAGTTCGGCCTAGTTGGTTTATTAGGGACTAGATGCGCCAAAAGACCGGGTGAGAGTGAAGACGACAACAAAAGCTCCTTGGTGGAATCAAAATACTTAGTAAGCATTATCTTCCAAGAGGTACATATTACACAATATTGCAGAAATTTTAAGTTGTTCCGCGTTTCAGCTTAGGGTAAACTTTTTTTGCAGACGAGACATTGCGGTTTATAACTCAGAGAGCCAGAAAGTGGAATCTGAAGGCACTTCAGGTATGTACCTTGCACAACAGTAAACATCTCGCTAAGGCCGGTGAAGAAAACTGCAGTCGTTGAAGGTTATAAAGCGGACTTAGTATTTTTGCCGAGCAATTATGATACTCAGGAACATAGGCCATTTAAATTTCGGAAAGGAAATTTAATATGCAAGTTAGAAAAAATAAATTATGTCCACAAACTGCGTCATATATTTTCTAATTCAGTGATACCAGGAGGACATACCCGTCCGACACTGCTCATGTTTTTGTTCACAAGGTTCCTAAATATTCCAAGAAGAGGCACCAGCTCTAGGGAATATCTTTAAGAACAAACCAATGAAGCCACACTGCACAAATTGACATTTCGGAAACGACATCGATTCGCCGCTAATTTCTACTCTTCAGAAACGTATAATTCCTATTCAAGCCTGCTGCTTGAACAATGGGAGTCATCCAAGTCTGATAACTATATATATATATGTATATATATATATATATATATATATATACATATATATATATATATATATATATATATATATATATATATATATATATATATATATATATATATATATAATGATACATAGACGGCGACGAAGACAACGACAGGCCATCGGCAGTGGCTCGTGCACACAGGCGCTGCAGCGGGCAGTTTTGAATTAAACCTATCGTTCGGAGGGCACCCCGTTCCCATCGCTCCTTCCAGCACTGTAACATACTTGGTGGAGGTGCGGGGTATCACGCTGACGGTAGGGTATGGAGCCAGTACGGATGGCCGGAGCCGCCGCTTGCTCACCTTCTGCCATGGAAGGCGGTGTAAGCACCCGATGACTTCGAAGATGCGTGATGGCAGAGCTGTAGATGGCTTGGACGAGGGACCCCCTCTTCTCCACCAAATTTCCCCCTCCACTTGCGGTCGAGACGACCGCCAACAACGGCGGGGTAATGATACATAGACGGCGACGAAGACAACGACAGGCCATCGGCAGTGGCTCGTGCACACAGGCGCTGCAGCGGGCAGTTTTGAATTAAACCTATCGTTCGGAGGGCACCCCGTTCCCATCGCTCCTTCCAGCACTGTAACAATATATATATATATATATAGCTATCAGATAGCCGGAGGGCTATATATAGCCCTCCGGCTATCACAAACCTCGATCGATGCGACAAATCGGAATGGGATTCCGTCCTTTTAGAGGCGTCCCTTAAACTGGTAAAAATCGCAATCAGTCATAGTGATAAACAAATAAAAAAATGTAACACCTCAATAACCACTACTATCCGATCGAACGACCCGCTTTCGACGCATGAAACAACCTCCTTACACGAATTCGAAAGAAAGAAACGCCGCGAACTTGAAACAATCAAGTCACGCAAACTCGATCGAGACAAAGTACCACACCCTATACAACCTCCATCCGTACCAAACCAAAACCATGCCGGTATTCAGCCAAACACTAGAATTACAGACAGCATGCGCCGAGACGAAGTCTTCAAATATTAACGAGGCGAGTGGTACATGCACTATCGTTAATTTGTCTGGAATTACTCTATCAGCCGAAGAAGAAAAAGTTATTTCTAAAGGACTAAACTTTTGCCCTGCCACTGGTTACATTGATGAGTTCCAAGTTCTCCAAGACCTAGATAACTTTGCCAGAAATTTAAGGTTGCGGGAATACTTTGTAGATAAACCGTCCAACTCCAAAAACACACAGCCACGTCCAATTAGCGATTGGACTCCAAATATTTGTCGCAAGAACGGCCTGGACTTGTACATATCGGCTGTACAAAAGGATGTTATGCGAGAATACCACAAGTACAGATGGAGACGGAACAACCTAACTAAATCCGAAAGAACCTCTTTGAAATCACTAAGTACTAGAAAAGACATCACAATAAAACCTGCAGACAAGGGAGGGGTGATTGTGATTCTCAGTACTGACGATTATGTTCGGGAAGGGTACCGCCAACTAAACGATCAAAAATTTTATGAGCGTCTTCCAGGCGACCCTACAAAACGCCACACTCAGATCGTAACGTCAGAGCTCAAACAACTTGTACACAGAGGCAAGATAACCGCTAATGAATATAATATAATGAAGCCAAAACAACCATCCCCCGGTTACTTTTACATGCTTCCGAAAATTCACAAAAGTGGTAATTCAGGCCGCCCAATCATATCCGGGATAGGAACAATAACGGAACCTCTATCGGGCTATGTAGACGACCTAAAAATACCTACAACCCTCGATTCGCATGTCAAGGACACGACCCACTTCCTCAGGGATATATTAAATTTATATATACCGAAAGGATCACATCTTGTAACCTTGGACGTGTCTTCATTGTACACGAACATTCCACACGACGACGGAATATCTTCGTCAATAGATATGTACGAGTCCCAAAGAAAACCAGAGAGCCCAGATGGTCACGTAATTGCAACCCTAACAAGGCTTGTTTTAGAACTAAATGTATTTGAATTTATTAATGAATATTTTAGACAGGTTAGCGGTACCGCAATGGGCACCAAGATGGCACCCAGTTATGCTAACATCTTTATGGGGAAGTTAGAGTCAAAATTTCTATGCGATTACCCATTAAAACCACTACTGTACAAAAGATTCATAGATGATATATTTTTATCTTGACACACAGCGAGGCGGACCTGCAAGACTTCATAGTTAATTACAACGCTGTCCACCCACACATCCGTTTCACCCACACTTACTCCCAAACCGACATTAACTTCTTAGACGTGACCCTTACGATAGAGGATGGGAAATTAACAACAAAGCTTTATCGCCAGCGAACAGATCGGCAACATTACCTTCATTATAAGAGCGACCACCCACGTCACTGCAAGAACAGCATACCCTATAGCCAGGCCCACCGTTTCAAACGCATCTGTTCAAACAAAAATGATTTCGACGCGAGCGCTCAAAACCTCAAGAACGTGTTGACACATCAAAATTATCCACCACGTGTAATTGATAATGCGATCGATAAAGCCAGAATGCTGAACCGCAGCGATCTCCTGGAGGATCGTCCCCCACAGAGCAACACACAACGCACAAATCTGTCTCACCTATAGCACTAACTACCCTAACGTAAACAATATTTTAAGACGACACTACAACATGCTCGAGCAAAGTGACCGCCTCAAACGCGCTTTTCCCTCTCCACCGGGGGTCATCTATAGACGATCACGCAAGATTAGAGACACGCTAGTTAATTCTCGGTTAAACTCTACACCGCGACACAACGAATGCAGGCCTTGTAATACACCGCAGTGTTTAATCTGCCTACAAATTCAACAAACAGACACAGCCAAGAGCACGCATTCGCAGTACTCAATGAAACTTAAAGGGGAACTGACATGCAACTCTTCAAACGTAGTGTACTTGCTAGAGTGTAGAGTATGCAAAATGCAATACGTCGGACAGACCGAGACAGCGTTTAGACTATGCTTTAACAACCACAGATCGCACTCTAAAACTAATCCAGGCCTCCCTCTTTCAAAACACCTCCGTCTCCCTGAGCATTCTTTCGATAAATTATCTGTGACATTAGTGGAATCTGGATTTAGATCAAACCGGGAGCGCGAACAGCGAGAGTCATACCTCATATACAAATTCAATACTATAGAAAAAGGAATAAATGAGAGTCCAGGAACACTTGCATCAATAAGAGCATTAACCTAGACTACCCTTTCATAGTGGTACTGTATTTTCGACTGGAATTGGACCACGTGATTATTCTATTACGACTCCTATACTCTGGATGTTATCTTTTATGGAACCGTGCTGTTCCCGTGCTTTTGTCTTACACACGTGTTTCATGTATCATTAACATCTCCCAAACGTACCCTCTTCCCCCTCCCCAACCACGTATCCTCTCTCCCTTTTTTTTTTTTGTTTTTTTAGTTGGGAGACGGGGCAAACTTGCTTTTGGTTTTCTTGAAACGCGCGGAGCCCCAGGAATGACCGTCGCGGGGATGCATTGGCTGGTTAGGGGCCATCAGCCAAGAAGACGTCGCCCGTTCACGGCCTATTGTAGCCACCCTTCCTGAGCGCTCAAGAGCACTTTGTACTTCGCCGCCCCGCAGGAGGAGCGGGCCAGGGTGTAAGATAGACAAGTGGGGAAACGAGAGCCAAATGAGCGACCGAATTGTGTCCCCCTCGGGTTTCTCTTTTTCTGTGGCGCCATCTATGTGGAGCACCGCGAACTCTCACTCCTGGTGGGTGACCGGTGGCGACCGGCTAAACTGACGGAGATGATTTCGCGTGGATTTTCAATGAAGGAATGTCGTGCTCTCGGTTAATTTTGCGCACTCTCCCATAAAGTTCCATGCGAATTCGATTCCAATTTTTTTCTTCTCGCCGCAGCGCCATCTGTCGCAAATCGGGGGTACCCGCAAGCAGACGAGTACACAATCCGGTCACGGCGCTGCGGTAGGGTTCTATGGGCCGTTTCCCCACCTGCCTATCTTACACCCTGGAGCGGGCTCAGGTCAAGTTGTTTGCCATGTGGAAACGCGTACACCCCGCACCCCCTTCCCTCCCCCCCTTTCTCTCTTTTTTTTTAGAGCGCAGCTCTTAGGGGCCCGTTCCCGGCTTGAGCGGCGTCGGCGTCGCCGTCGCCGTCGCCGTCGCCGTCGGCGTCGGCGTAACCAAGGTCATCCCAAGGTCACGTGACCCCTCCAGGTCACGTGGCCCCTCCCAAGGTCATCTCAAGGTCACGTGACCCCCAAGGTCACGTGACCCCTCGAGGTCACGTGACCCCTCCCAAGGTCATTTCAAGGTCACGTGACCAAGACCCCACGTGACCCTTTGAAGGTCACGTGACCCCCAAGTCACGTGACCCCTCCCAAGGTCATCTCAAGGTCACGTGACCCCCATGTGAGACCCAATGTTACGTGACCCCCAGGTCACGCCTCCCCGAGGTCACGTGACCCCCTCCCCGAAGTCACGTGACACCCCCCGGCCCCCCCCCCCCCCGAGGTCACGTGACCCCCCCCGGAGCATATTAAAGAATGAGGGGAGGAAAGGAGAAGGAGGAGGGGTCTACCCTCCCCTCAGTACCCTTCCCTACTCCTCCTCAAGAGCTGCGCTCCCATTCGGCGTTACAGGGATTTGTAAACGGCTTTCACTTTTTTTCTCCCTAGTTTTGAACTTTCTTGCTGCGGCGATATGCCCTCACTTGAATGTCATCTCCTGACGAAGCCGAGTCTCTCGGCGAAACTGTCGATTAAACTTCCGCTGTTTGTTGTTTTTCACTGTGAGTTTTTCACTTCGTTATATATACGCCTTCGGCCACTTGGCTCTTATGCCACCATGCCCACTATATTTATATATATATAGGGTGTTTTTTTAAGCTTAACAGATTTGTTTTAAAAACGCCGTGAAAGTTACACTTCTGCCGCTTGTGCAGGTGAGTTAAACGGCCAGGGGGACATTTTATAGTTGGCTAATCGTAACGATCAATCGGCTAATTAATTAAAATTCATTAATTAACTTTTTAATTAACGAAAATAGACATATGGTTCCAATTAGAAACTTACTCAGCGTCATCGAAAACCACTAAATCAGTCATTTTTAGAAAGACTTTGGGCGCGTGAGAAGCGTAGTAGTGCACTAAAGTTACCTCTTGTGGAGCAGGTACAAAGCTAGAGGTTGCGATAAGGCGCCCGCGCGCCTTTTTCGTGTCTTATCTAGCCCCAGCCTTGTACCTGCTCCACGAGTCGTAACTTTAGTACAATACTACGCTTCTCACGCGCCGAAGATCTTTCTGAAAATTACTGATATAGTGGATTTCGATGACGCTGAGCAAGTTTCTAATTGGAACCATATGTCTATTTTCATTAATTAAAAAGTTAATTAACAAATTGTAATTAATTAGCCGACTATAATATTTCCCTGTGGCCGTATAACTCACCTCCACAAGCGGCGTAAGTGTAACCTTCATGGCCTTTTTTAAACAAATCTGTTAAGCTTAGAAAAAACACCATATATATATATATATATATATATATATATATATATATATATAGAGCACACACTTCAAAATATATTTTATCATGGTGCTCAAACAGTTGCCCTCCATGTTAAACACTAGCTTGGAGTGGCAAAATGATTGTGTATTCCACTCCAAGGACACATCGCCGCCAGAGAGAAGACCAGTAGTTTTAACAGTTTATTCTATTGTTTAGAGGTTCTTTTCTCATTTGTAATAACTGCCTAAAACAAAATAAGGGACCAATCCTGATGTTACATTTCTGGTAATTCCTAATATAGCGTTATTTCATCGTGTAGAAATATTTGTAATATAAAAGCAGTCCCTAATTCTTGAAATGTCTGCTTTTTATACCGTGCGTTTCAACTGCTACAGTTACTTCTCAATGGGTTGTATCAGTAGGTTCTCCGAATTATTTGCGTCAGCGTTCATGGACAGAATGCTTGTCTATGGACGTTGAGGAAAGCTGCTGAAGTATCGGCATGCTAGGCTTCTAGTTAAACAGTTTCTTTATCGTTGTTTAAAAAAAAAAGTAGCAAGTTCTCTCTAATATTTCACGTAAGACGCCTGTTTAACCTTGGAATATTACCTTCACATTATTCATCGGGGTATTATTTTCCCATTAAAGGTTACGCGTATGTTGGTGGCGCTTGCCGGGATTCCAGGGTGGGCATGGTGGAAGACAAGGCCAACATGTTCACCGGTACGCACACATTCGTACACGAGGTCGGACACCTGTAAGTGTTTACAGATCTGTAAGTTTACAGTTCTCATAGAGTTCAGCGAATATTAGTAGGCATCGGAAAAACGCTTATTAAGAAAACTGCGCGATTATATAAATCATATGAGTAAGCGCGCGATAAATTGTGATATGAGCTCACTATCTTGATTGATATGTAAACATATATACTTTACATAATAAAATGTTTATTGATGTTACACAACAACATGCCTTTTGTGATTTTTTTCAAAAATTTTAAGAAGGAATTCGTCCATTAATTTTTATATTTGACTCACAAAACCCCGTTTTCGCCAAACTTGATTGTTTTAATATTGCAACGCAAGATAAATATTTCTTCATCTTTTGTTCACAATAAGCCCCAGTTTTTCTATTTTTCCAAAACAGTATTCCTCACATTTTGTAGTTTTCAATCAAAACTTCTTGATTACTAAGAATGAATAGCGAAATATTTCTGTTTTAAAATACTTCTACATTGTTGGGGTTGTCGTATTTGTTAAAGCTTTGCATCCCTGAATAAAAATAGGTCCCCAGGATTCCCTGTTTCAGATGATGCAACATCTTGATCGCGGAAGTTTCACGTAAAACATGCGAAATTACAGCACCAACATTGCAATTTAGAAAAAAGAGTATTGGAAAATATAATGTAAGACAAACTTAAATATATTTCTGGACAGTACAATGTCAGCGCACAATAAAACTCGAAAAGTTCGGCGACGTATGTTGGAATGCTATTGATAGTTTGAAGGTCGCTGCCTAAAAAAAACATTTTTAAACGTCTTTAAAGACACATCTTTCTTTAAAGCAACATCGCCCTAGTGCTTTAGTTTACGAATGCATATTTTTTATGAATATTACAACAGAAACTGCTGAAAAAAGCTGAGTACATAGTTTTTCTTCAAATTGCCTAAAAACGAGAAGGGCAACAATTGTATTTTATTTTTTATCTTTTGATCAAGTACAATACATTTCAAGTGATTTATATGTGAGCTTAGAAACCCTAGTAAAAAAAACTGAAACGTGTAAGAAATGTTTTGATCCAATAAACGCGTATGATCAAATAAAATCATACAAGAACCTTTTAAGTGTAATATAAGATTATCAAATTCATAAGAAGCCAATAGGTTCCTTATAACTTCCTATATAGTCGTATATTGTTCTTATAAATTTTTTTATGCTTTTATATGACCTTATTTGATCATATGGGTCATTTGGACCAGTACAATTTTATAGATATCAAATGTTCCACTAGGAATGCCCGCATTCATAGGTTGATTACTAGATTCACACATTGAACATCTGTATGTTCTGCATAACTGGTAAAATACAAGATACACTAAAGCTAGATGTATTCTTTTTTATCAAACAGACTTGGGATGTCCCATGACGGTACTAAGGCACCAGATCACATAAAGAACAGTCCCGGAGCCACAAAGTGCAGCCCGAGTGACGGTTACATTATGGCTCCTACGTACGACGTCCATAGTTATCATTTGTTTTCGGTATGCAGCTCAGAACAGCTCTTCGCTTTTCGAATGTAAGTAACAGAACTCTACACCTAAATAACTCAGGAAACGAAGCATAGCAGCAGTTTATAATAATAATAATAACAATGCTTTTTTTATTTCTTGCCTTATTATGTTTTGTTTTCTCTTAGTTCCAAAAACGGTTGTGAAACCTTTTATGCGGTGCACTGGGACTTCGTATTACAGGTACACCTTAAAACGTACAAAAACATCTGAAAATACACCAATCCATGTATGCGAAGCGAGCACAGCTACTGCAGAGACTGTGGCTCATATAATATATAGTACACTCCTGCAAGAATAATTTAAATTTAACAAAATCTAAAGGAATATTTAATTCACTATCGGCTATGGTATTAAAAGCAGACTGCATACGAGATAACGATGACAATTAAAAAAATCTACTAAGTAAAATATAAAAATTGAGGACCAGGCCTCGTGGAAACATTAGTCTTTACTCACAACCAAACACTTAGTTGTAACAGTAGAATGTACTGCCTTATGTAGAATATTATTATCTCCAATAGCCTTCTCGTGAAAGCCTTTCGAAAGTAAGAGACAATAGCAACGAATCGTAACTAAATCAGTTTGCGACCTATGATTCGGTAGTAAATATTTTAAACAAATTTCGCCGCACAATTTTAATCATTCCAAGTTTAGTTAATGGGAACGAGTACCAACTAATTGAACCAAATTTAAGTACGAGACTGCGGAAGAAACGCACCAAAGAAAAGAATGAAGTAAACGTACGTTATCCTCGAGCAGTGTTTTCCACGTTCCTAAAAAAAAAATGGAACGAAAGCTCGTTCCTCGCTCCTCCTGATTTTTGGAACGCGTTTCCGTTACAAGTTCCATGAGTGAAAAGGGAACTCGTTCCCGTTACAGTTAAAAAATGGAACGTATCGTTACATATACGTTGTATTTGTATTTTTCTGATTACCATATTTAATTGGATCAAGCAAAGACCATCAAATGGTAACATACGAATTTGTATGTAGTGATGGAAAGATACCCAGGAGAAGAAAACCAGCGGAACCAGGGTTTTATTTCTTGATATAATCAAGTTTAAAATCTCAGTTTTTAACCACATTCATGTTTGTGGTGGACGATCCAGATGAGCCAAATGTACTGTTACCCCACATTCCACGAGCGTTTTATAACAACGTCACACGTTTCAATCGAACAAAGTCAATTGTTAGAACTTAACAACAGTTGTTTCTTAACCTTGCTGTCCTGAAGACAAACAAGTGAAGGAGAGGACAGGGGTTTTGGAAGGTCAGTCTTTAAAATGACAAGTACTTCTTCGTGAAGGTTGGATTTGTTGTTCAGTTTGAACGTGCGGGACAAGGGGAGAAGAAATAAAGATTATTTTTTGTAAATCTTTTAAGTGACCAACATACAGGATACAAGGGTGCGTTCGATGTCTGGTGACCTGTGATTCTGTTGTAACTGTAGGTCTCTTGATGGAAGTTCAGAAATGAATGTACTCCGCCTAAGATTTCTGGGTGTATGAGTATACGTGGAAGCAAAGAAAGTTGCTGAGTTTAAAACGTTCCTCTTTTTGTGTACTCTCCTGCGACTAAAAGTTATGTTTTTGGTCGCGCAGTCTCGGGCGCTCAAAAAAGAATCAATGTCCACTAGCTCTCCTACACCCGACTGTTACCAAGCGAGGACCACACAAGACAAACCCTAAAATAAATGGCCAAAAAGTTAACGAGTTAAAAGCGATATGTTCGTAACGATATTGCTTTTATACTTGTAAAATTTCCCTCTTAGAAATAAAATAAAAATTTCCCCACTGTACGAAAAAAAGGAACGCCATTGCTCTTTCCGTTCCAGTTCCACTGACAGAAAATGTAACGGCGGTGTTCCTTCGATCCTTCTAAAAGGAACGCGTTCCAGGAACGCCGTTCATTGGAACGCCGTTTGGTACAACACTGTCCTTGAGTGTCCATTCCCAACTTTTTTATTTCTTTATCGAAGCATAGAAATATTCGCAGTAAATGGAAGAGCTCCGTCAATTAAGACGCCAAGGTCTGTGGTCGGAGACACACAATCTATTTTATTGCCCTCCATCACATATGTGAACAAAACATGTCCCATTTTCTTGATAAAGCAATTAATTTTGTTTTTCCTGGATTCGAAATTAAAGCGTTTTCGCACACCACTCAAAAATCGAATCAATATCAGTTTGCATTAAAGTACAATCAGAATATTTCGAACATTAAAAAATTTGATATCGTCAGAAAAAAAGTACATTCAAATGGCCTACGTACGATACTGAAGCGTTTAGTTTTGAGTCTAAAGTACAGGGAAAAGATATGTCCCCCTCCTGGATTATTTAAAAAGGTTCTACTGTTTTTATTTTCTTGGGGGCGCGCTCACGCGTGCCGTAGCGGCGCCGTTTTCAATCTTATTTTTATTTCATTGTAAGAATGGTGAAACAAGTGGTGCACGAGACCGCTACAATAATACATTGTTTTCAAACAAAACAAACAATATTGGTCCCAGATTCGACCCCTGGGGTACACCAGAAGTCGATACAAAACACTTCGAAAAGGACTGGCAAACACGAACAGTGTTACCGCGTAAGAGAAGTATAAATCATAAACCATTCATAAAGCTTAGGCAGAGGCCATAGAAAGAAAGATTGCAAATGACTAAATGGTAATATACACGGTCAAAGGCCTTTGACGCGCCTTAATATACTGCATCAAGTTGGCCTCTGTGTATGACTGTGGGCACAAAGGATGCTAAGAAATGTTTGTATTGTAGCGTATAGGGTTTTTAGCTTAGCGCAAGAACGTCCGAAGCTGTTTTGCCAAAACATTTTTTTTAAACTTTCAATGATTGTAAACGTCTATCAATCTTGTATGCGTGTCCCGCTAGAGCACAAGAGACACTGAACTGAACGTACCAGATGTTCAATCCAGTCTTCTTATACATACGATTACAGTACGTTTTTATACAAAACAGGCCCTTTAGCTCCCTTGTGAACCTTCTAGGACTCTGAGACTTCCGTGAATTCTGATTCGGAATATTATCCCTCACTGCATTATGTACCACCAAAGTCAATGTGGTATTGGCCGATTAAGCGTTTTGGTTCAATAATCTGTGAGACCATTTGAAATTAGCAAAACTATCGTAAAACTTGTAATTGTCCCCATTGCAAGAGCGAAACGGGGAAAACTGAGGACGAGCATGGGGCCTACATGACACGCAAAACGGAACTACAAAGGGAGCATGATATGCATCAACAGGCACCAATGGCAAAACAACTGACACAGTCAACTCTCTGGGAGCATTTGATAAGCATAAATCAAGGACATCACCATCTGTATTTTGGCTCAGTGGACCCATAAAAAGTTGTAAAAGAATGTGACCATGATGCCAATTTCCTCGAAGTAACACTATTTAAATGCGACGCCGTTTAATTAAACCAATCAATACCACAAATATTAAAATCATCATATATTTTGCCCTGTATACTGAAATATCAACAACGATACCGAGAGTTCCAAAATGGCCTATATATTAAAACGTTCAGGTAAATAATATTTTGAAATTAAATAGTCTAACCGATCACAGGCAGGTGTTTCTACCCAAACGCACTCAGCTTTAATTTTTAGATCTGCTTCTCGAAGCAATTTTACTACTCAGTCAGCGGCTATCAAAACACCAAGTCAAACGTTTTGCCCTGTATTCGCATAATCCCGATCTCTTCGGTGAAGGACATAAATTCAAGAGAAGTATTCAACGATTCATATTATGTAAGACAAGCCATTTCTAATTTTCTAAATCAGATGAAAGAATATTCCTCATCCGTTCAACTCCTTCGATCTTAGGCCACAAACATTTTAATAAAAGAAGGAACCTCGAGCGTATATGCATCATCGTTTATGTTTGCTGTCTCAGGTAGATATAAGAGAGCTCTGTCAAGTTCCCCGTAAAACTGTTAAAAATGTTATCCCTTCATTCATCAGATGAGTTTAGAAGACTCATAAGAGAGTCTTTAATGCAAGTTTAAAAGGAGTTATATACGTAAAGACAGGGGACGGGACAACACATCTTTCAACTTTCAACAAACAAGACCATTTGTTTGTTGAAGGTTGAAAGATGTGTTGCCCCGCCTACCAGCGCGCTCACTAACAAGTGTACAGTCTTTAATACTTCGCATTCTTCTTAACATAATTCTTAAACAGCATTCTGCACAAGTCACATTCTTAGTTGAGTCTGCTAGTATGACGCTAAAAGCGATTGCTTCTACCTAGATAAAATTACAGGTGCAAACATTTTTGGATACTGTCAGTAATACTCTATGAAGCGTTCTGATTTACGAAATGCATTAGTTTGCGTAGCTGCGTTTTTATTTCATTTCCCGAGAAAGAAAATAATAAAAAAACACAAGCGCATTGCTTTTCCATTGCCTAATTTAAACATTTAAAGTTAAAGATGAAAAACAAAGCGCGGAATGGCAAAAAAAAAAAAAAAACACGTTTTCCGTCTAATTCTCGTCAAATTATGATGCACTCTGGAAAACCAGCCTTCTGCGTAAAGTCCTTATTTCAAACACTTTTTGTTCGCATTCCGCTCATTCAAAAGCATGTGGGAAGCAACTCAGCATGCACCTCGTGTGGCTGCGCCGCAGTGTTCGTCCGCAGCAAGAAGGCCGTCTGTTTTCATCTCCGTCACCATGGCAACGAATGGCGAATGACCTTTTCGGACGGCGCGTGTATCACTGGAGAGCATGGTAACCCACGCCACCACCTGCGTTCACGCCACTTCGTGGCGACAGTCAGCGGCTGCTCATTACAAAACTATTAAACTTTGGCTTGCAGACAGCGTTCGGAAAATCGGCGTTTGTTGCATGGTGACGGCGATAAAAGCAGACGGCATTTATATGTCGCGGAAGAACATTGGTGCGGTGATACGAGCTGCGTGCTGAGGCCCTTCCCGCATGCTTTTCAATAGGCTGAGCGCGAACAAAAAATGTTCGAAATAAGGACTTATCGCAGAAGGCTAGTTTCCTCCAGCGCCTCAAAAATTGAGAAGCCTTACACGAAAAACATGTTTTTAGACCGGAGTTTGGAGATAGGCCTTTTTTTCACAACAAAGTGGGTCTAAAGTTTTAATGTGACAAAGTTTATTTGTACAATGATGACCCAGATGTTAAAAAATAAAGTAGATTTGATAGGCCCCAAGAAAGTGAAGAATACGAATAGACCAGAAGAAAACGCACACTTGTGAAATGGGAAAGTGACGTAAAGTACTGGAACATAAACATGGTGGGCGATGTAAAGATTTAAACCTTATTAATACAAAACTCGACCAGGCTGGTTCGTAATCATCAATACAAACAGCCGTCCGCAGTATTCTTCATATACTTTACCCTCGCACAAGTGGGGATCTTAAATAGGCAAAGAAAAAGCGCGAGTTTTAACAAAACGACATAAAATAAAAAATTCAATGCTGTTAAATTTATAGATGATGTTGTTTTTTTGTAACTAAAAAAACTTTATTATACGTTATTTTTGTGTGGCCTCAATAATGCGGAATTCACGTATTAAAAATATCATGTTATATAAAAAAATTCTCATGTATAATATTCTACTGCATGGAGGAGGATTGATGCCATCGTTTACAATTATTTACATCCCTCCTCAAAAACAGTTTATTTTCGTGTTTTTTTTGTGCTGCATTCTTCAACAACATCTTTTAATAGATGAACTTCCCATTGACAAAATATGTAACATGTATTTTGCAATGACCTACCTGTTCTTTGCATTTCGCGTCCTCTGTTACGTGTTTGGTTTTCAAAGCAAACAAATATTTCTTCCAGGGACCCGCACACCACGTGTTTTAATAATGCTCCGCAGAGGCATAATAAACCTTTAAAGTACGACGAAATTAGAGATAAAGCAGTATCAGCACAGACGTTTTGTGAGTTAAAACACCCTGGAAAAAACGTCACATATCTCCAGGTACTTCTCTCAATAGCTTTAAGTTTTGACAACTGAGAGAAAAAATAGTCCCGGTAATAATAACCGCCGTGCTTTTTCTAGTCATATAACGGATCTCAATATTATGACCTGATGCGCTGTGACATTATATGCTCATGGTCGGATGGACACCTTTCGTATCTCGCCTTTTATGATGCTCCTGATAACACTCCTTGTTACGAGGAAGACCATTCATTGGTGAGTTTCTTTCAACTGTGAATTCCTGGAACTTATACGAAAGACCCTAAAACATGACATAACACCGTTTCATCCCAAGTCAAACTGCAGTTGACGGAGCGAGGCGATGGTGCAATGAAGCAGTGCCAAAAGTGCAAAGTTATGGAACTTGTCGTGCTTGTGCGTACCATATACCACATGCTAAACCAGTGTATCCTGTACTATAAAAGGCCAGCTGAACTTAGGAAAATATACTATAGAGAGAAAAAGAGTCAGGCATGCCGCTGGACTACCAAGTGTAGTTTAATACTTCCTCTTTTTGAACCTTGACTTGACCAGCGATATGCCTGTCTCTTTTTCTCTCTATATTCCATTTTGCTAAATTCAGCTGGCTTTGTATAGTAATATGCACCAACAAGCTCAACTACAGTCTGGTACCAGTCTATCACAAGGAACACGCCATGACCTTGCACATTTATTTTATCTGTCTGTGTTCGTACGTCTTCGAGCCATTCACTGCGCCCTGACTTGCGATGAGAAGAATAGTAGTTCGTATTGAGTCAACTGTATAGCTTAGGGCAAAAACGGGCTTGGTCAATGTTCCGCAGGCTTTCTAATTTTCGATTCGTTGTTTAGTGTTTTCATCGGCTAATGCCTCAACTCAGTGGCTTAGCAGTGATAATCAGATTCTCGCAAGTCACCACGCCCTAAATTTCTTAAGTGTTTGGCGGTGTATGGTAAATTTGGGCTACTAGCGAAGATAAGCCGGCGCACAGGTAATTACATTTCATATTCTGAGGATAGTGGAAGGAGCATATCGTGTCCTCGGAGAGATAATGTATCGCAGTCCTTTCGGAAGGTGACCCTATAAGTACGGGCACTTGACGTCCTCGTTTGTCGTTCCGCTCGTATTGGCTGACAACGAATTTCACATGACGTCTTTTTTGCGCAACACTCTAAAAATTGAGCGACTTGCCGTAGTGGCAGCTGCAGCTTTAAAAACATTAAATACTCCAATCTGCGTTTTTTACTGAGGTAAAAAATGTGTTGTCCTCTTTTCTTTTTGTAATTTATTTAAAGCCCAAAGGAATGTATGCTCTCGAGTAATACGCGCACCGTTTATGAACAGAGCCTGCGCAACCACATTTTCGGCGGAGCACGATAGACAGATAAAACCTGGAAACTTAAAAAAACGAACATAATGTCTCCGCAGATCACGTAAAATATGATCTGAGCACATAAAAAAAGTTTCGCGGAAAATCGTCTATTTCTTTTGTATCGCTGTTAATTGCTTGTTGGTTATTCGGCCCTCGAATTTCCCCTGCCCTTCGTTTTTATAGAGAAGATCCGCCTATAGTCACAGACAGAATAAGAACGGCAGGGTGTGTCTTAGGAGCGCCTGGCCTCCAGCGAGCGCTCCGCGCCTTCCGCCGTCCTTTGGCTGCCAGCTCTCGAGATGCACGAAACGCCTAAGCGTTGTCGAGGGCAAGAAGCTCTCGCTGGAGGCGGGACATATGAAGTTCCACTTGCCGTTCTCACCCTGTCAATGACTAAAGAACGCCGCAGTCTGTTGAGGGTTGAGAATAGCATGACTAGGCCATCCCACGAAGCACTCTGCTCGTCATGATTGGAGGCTTCCTCCTCTCCACCATTTGTTCTGCTAAAGTGGAAAGAATCAACGAATAGTGGACGCGCTTCATGGGAGGGGCTTGTACTGCGATTCTTAACTTGGCAACAGACTAGACGACATCCTCGCTTGCGTTCTAGAGAGTGAGGAGGTATCGCGGATTTACAACACCGCCTAGAAAACAAGACCGTGGTGCTGCCATTTTTGAGTCATCGGCGAAGGCCGACACTGTACACAGATTGGAAAGGAGTGCTGCTTCAGCGCTGGGCTTCGAGTCAAGCCTGAGACGAACGTTGCCGCAATCATCATGTCCAATCTGTGACCAGAGTTGGCTTTTGCTGATGACGACGTCTCATTCAGTACTAAGGTTTTGTTGTCTAGGAGGTGTTGGGGCTTCTTACCCTCCAGGACGCACTTTACGATGAACCGCGGAGCGTGCTACGAGTCACCGGAACCCATCCGATGCTGTGTGAGTATCACGTGACCTTTGAGAGTCACGTCATACGTTCACAGCGTTCGAATGGCTGGTACAAGCACGTAGTGTGTGCTGCGGTCCATCGTAAGGTGAAAAGGAGCATATAGGGTTGTTCTTCTCCACTAAAAAAAAAAAAATAAGAATAGTTATGCAAGAATGGGAAGCACCGAACATGTCGAGCACAAACTACTACCTCGCAGAACTATACCTCACAAATATTGACGTCCCGTAAAGTCAGTTTCTAAAATTCCCCGCTAGAACTAGCGCGTGAATTTGCGTGACCCTCCTTCATGACGCTGCTCCGTGACGGTTCCTCGTGACTGCTCTTCATGACGATGTTTTCATTAAATTTGACTCATAAAACAAGTTGCGTGTTAACAAAACAAAAACAACGATAAAGAGCACGATGCTTCCTATCCGGCCTCTGCCTTCCGGGGGAGAAGGTGCCGACAAGGCCTCTTGTAGGCAGGATCAAGTTTAGTGAACAAATAATAGGCATTTTACTTAAAGCATAAATTTACAGTGTAGAACGCAATGTCTTTCTCTAGGTGTGCTTCATGGGAAGGCATAGCCGCTGGCATCTTAAAACACGCTGGGCGTGTCATATTGTGTTCACGCTACTTGCTTCATAATTCGTTCCTTGGCGTTCTTCTCAGCTAATGTTGTAATGTCATTTTACTACGGGGCGTTAACAAGGCATTTAAAACGTGTCACTCCTTGGGTTTCTTGCCTGTTCTTGACTATTATAGACGCGCGAGCCTTGTCTACAAACACTGCATCTATTACGTGTTAGTAAAAAGGTGAGAAGGAACAAGTATAGGGTGCCTGAAACACCGAGGCTGGATCTAAAATTGGCCATAAATATAGGTGCCTCCTCGTGGCAACCTAAAAGTTTCGTCAAGGGTGCAATTTACAGGTGGGTTTTACCTTGTAAAATTACAAGGCGTACCTCTCATTCTGTAAAAAAACAGGGCAAAAAAAAAAACTTGACAGGGACAACGGCGGACGCCGACGCAGACGACCGAGTAGAGTGGTCGGGTGTGTTTGGCGCACGTACTGATAGATGGCACTATCGAGGCTACTTACGACGACCGCGGTTTGGTAAGATGAACATAATATTTTTGTAATGTAACTTTGGTTTACAGATAAAACGGAAAATGATAGCAATACTTAAGTAACAAAAAAAAAAACGCGGTTGCATAATGACGCCACGCTTGCTGCCAATGGATTATCGTTTCCGCGTCGTCTGCTTTCTTTCGCTGGTCGGCTGCACCTTCCGACGCTGCTCCCGACGCTATCTATCAGTACGTGCATCAAACGCGCCCCGCCACTCGACCTGCACCGCTGTCCGCCGCTGAATCTGGCAAGTTTTTTGAACCTATTTTTTAGAGAAAGCGAGCCACAATTTGTAATTTCTCAAGGTAATACCCACCTGTAAAATACAACCTTGACGAAAATATTAAATCGCTGCGTTCAGACGCCGATATTTACGGTCCATTTTAGATCAAGTCTCGGTATTTTTAGACATTCTATATATCATGGTGAAACTTCTCATCGCCTCAAATAAGAGCGTAGATGCTTGTTCTTTTTTTTTTTTTTGCGTACGCACGCTTACACAGACAAACAAAACGTTCATGTAGGGTGTTTTCGCCTAAGTGTTTTAATCTCTCAGGCGGTCGATGTAAATAACATTTAAATTTTATTTTACAAAGATTTTCTTGCTCTTAGCCCCATACTGTGCAAGGTCTGTGGTTTAACTCCCGTATTCAATGTCGAAACACTTGCCGCTCGTCTGCCTTACAAAATCAAAACTTGATTTTTATTTTCCAGGTCTGCATTAACAAAGACTGCAGTGTAATTCCCACTGACTTGAAGACATTCACAGCAATTCCCAAAGAAGCATAACCTTCCCGTAAAATATATATCTTGCTATAGGCTGATAACTTGCTGGAAAGAAAATATAATTTGTTGGTGCCTCAACCTTTTGCGTTGTTATTATATGGTCCCACACTCACTTTTGAACATGCATCTATTGCTTCATTCACCGCAAGACATATATATGACAGAAATGAAAGTGAATAAACAAGACTGAAATTAAACTAAACTTTACATTTGTTGAAACTTATAGGAATTGAACAATGTCGAGCGTTAAAAAGCATGATACATGTGTTCAAGCACAGAAAGCCGAAAACTGGCTAGTAAAGGACTGCGGGTGGGTAAAACGTTGGCATAAAAGATATTGGTGGAAGCCCGGGGGGTGCCATTTTTTAAATTAATGGTCCTGCCTAGATGTAGCAAAATACATTTCAATCAGCCTCCTGCGAAGTGTTCATTCTTGTAAAACGTTTCGTGGTACAATATGGCGGAAATTTTGTAGGGGCGCCGAATTAAAAAAAAAGGGTGATTACATTACAGGTGATGAAAGTAACCCCTTGTTTATATTAAGAACCAATCTCAAGCAGGGCCTAATTTTACCGGGTGTGTTTTTTTTTTTTCAGTCCGTCAATATATATATATATATTTTTTTTTATTTGCTTTTGAGACATTTTAGTTGTGGAGTCCATTTGATGGCAATATAGCGGCCTCAAGAAAAGAAGCGAACAGGGTAATGTTAGCTAAAAGACTCATACTGTTTTATTAACTTATCAAACTTTCGTTTTTACATATTCTTTTTTTTCTTGGGGGGGGGGGGGGGGGCGGGCAGCTTATTTTGCTTAGAAATGAATGTTATAAAGATCGATACGTGTCATAAGATTAAAAAAAAGTCGAAGTGGGGCTTATGTTGTGATAAATGCTACCCATGCACACGGCTTCAAAGCGAAACTGAGCCGGCAAAAAGCACCAGTGAATTCCTCTGCCTTCTGTCGACTCTGCACGAAATCCGGCTTTAATAGCACTGCTCGTTCGCTGCTTAATTTCAGTTTGACGCCGTGTATAAGGGTGACATTTACCACATTGAAGTCGATATTAAATTTTCCCAATAGAATATGGCCCCAAAATGTACTTTTAAGCTCTTTATAAAACCTTTTTTAGTTAATTAGTTGTCTAATTTACCTGTTCCGCCCCTTCATATATAAAAATGATCGGTCATATAGCCTGGCTTTGACCAATTAAAGTCAAACAAAATTGTGCATTTCCAATCATTGGTAAAAACGAAATTCGGAAGGCCATGCATTGTTTTGTTTGTTTTTTTATTTGGAGGGAAAAACAGCGACGAAATTCAAATCATGGTTGAAGGCTGTTCTTGCGGAATCAGCGTCATCATTTTCCACTATAAGTTATGAATTTAGAAATTCAAGCGTGGCCGCATGGGCAAAAGTGTTGAACCAAGTTCGGGACGTCCAACAACAGCTGTCATACCCGAAATTGTGGACAAAATAATTGCGTGGTCTTACTGGATCACGGAATAAATGTCTGTGAACTTCGGAAAGCGGTGGCTATTTCTTCGGAACGAGCAATTCATAATTTACACAATAAACTAGGTTTGAAAACATGAAAGCCGTTTACAAATATGTGTAATGCGAAATTAGAGTGCAGCTCTTGGGGAGGAGGAGGGGAGGGCATGCCCCTCCGCACACTCCCCTCCTCCTAATTCTCCTGCTAAAGTTATTTTGCGAACAAATTTTCCGCTGAACTTGGCGAAAAAAAGTTCCCCGCTAAATATAGCGGGAAACTTTCCCCGCTAAATTGGGGGGGGGGGGGGGGGTTAAGTTTACCCGCTAAGTTTAGCGGTGAAATTGACGTCACGTGAACTCAACACCAATTCAGTTTCCCCGCTAAATTTAGCGGGGAAAACGACGTCTCATGACATCGTGTCACGTCACCCATATACAATTTCAGTTTCTCCACTAGATTTAGCGGGAAAATTCACGTCACGTGAACTCAACACCAATTCGAATTCTCGCTAAATTTAGCGGTGTGGTTGCGCCGATGCCGACGGCAACGCCGCAAAACACGGAAACAAACGTTACAAAAACTGCCTTAAAAAAACGTATACAAGGCGAGTGCACTATTTGCTCAATCCCAAGAAAAAAACGATGTTGAGCCCGAACCTCAGCCGATATTTAGAAGTAATAAAAAATCCAGTTCATTTCAAAACATTACTTGTGACCATAAATTAGATCTGGATTCACCAAAGCACCACATAAACTAAAATGCAATCAAAACAATGGACTAAACGCAGTGAGTTGGTTCCGAAGAAGGTAAAACCATTTCAGTCGGCTGGAAAGGGGATAGCATCAGATCGCTGGAACGCCAAGAAAATTTTGCAAATAAATTACCTTCTTTTTGCAAAATAATAGGTAATTTACAAAATGAACAGCAGCAGGTTTCAGGACCGTGCTGTAGGGTTGCTTCAGGCAGCATGAACCCTAAAAAAGTGCTTGAAATTCTTTGACAGCACTTGGAATCTTCTGAAGCGCTGAGTGTCCCCCGCGCGCTGCATAATGCCTAAGGGTTAGCTTGCGTTTAGCCCCAGTATAGCCTTGTGACCATCTTCTACGACAAAAACTTCACATATGTAGTGGCGTTTGCAACGGTCACCTTCTGGCACGTTGCTCCAAAGTTCCTTATGAATCCTCATGTGTACGCTCGCAGAGCGGAGCTACTATGCTTTGATGTTTCTTGCGCTCGGAGCTTTCTGCACACAGAAGACGGAAACAGGCTGACTAGCGATCCGATGTCAACTTTTAAAAGAACATCTGGATGCGAAACTTGAGTCTTGATTACCCGTTCGTTGCGGTTTCCGCTTCCACCACCTATCTCGAGGACGTCAAAGTCATCGTCGACGTCACTTCTGCTTAGTTCGCCAACGACCGTCAAGCCAGGAGAGCAAGTCGGGAAGTGATTCATTTTTGTGCATGAGTTGCATTTTTCCGTAAGCGGGGCCACCATCGGACTTCGTGTTGCCGATTGCACAGCCTGCAGCGTAGTTGCTTCCAGCTTTTCTGGCCAATGTTGCTGCGATGTGAAGCCGCTTGTTGTGAAAAATCATCGATACGGTCGGGACCCTTATTCCAGACTTTGTTTGCAGCTCTAAGTTTTCTAGATTTTGCGCACATCTTCTTCCTTTATCAAAGTCAGGCCATTTTCCCAAATCATTTTCTCACGAAGCTTCAAATTATTTGTGAAAAACACAATATGGTTTCTAATAATTGACTCGCGCAGTTCGCCGAAGTTGCACTGGGCGGCTTGCTTTTTCAGGTCTCGAACAAACGTTTCGCAGGGTTAGCCTTCGGCCTGCCTTCTGGATCGAAATACATAGCGTTCATGCACTTCGTTGCTCACCTCGGCACACTGCCTCTTCAACTGCCTGCAGCATTACCATACCGGCTGCAGCCGATACCGGGGCGCTCGATGAAACCTGTCTGCCCGAAGAATACTCCACGGTGTGTGTCCCCTTCCCAGTACTAAAGCTGTCTCCGAGCTCCGAGCCTCAGCGGGATTTTTTTCACGAGACACCATGCCTGGAGTTTTATAGACTGTGCATGTTTGTGGCCACATGGCTGAAGGAGGACGCGTCGTTAGCTGCGACAACTTCACACTGTTTCTGGTGACAGACTCCCGGTAGGCTTCTGCCTTTAAAGGGGTACTCCGCCGATTTTTGAGCTACCTCAACTAACTATATTTTCTGACTCCCCGGCCTTTACCCTTTCTGGTATGCTATTTAGCATCGTAAAATTCATAACAGTTATTGCGAAATCGGCAAATGAAAATCATGCAAAAACAAACATTCAAATATACCCGCCCTTTTCAGGGCCGTGACGTCATTGGAAGGTCAGCTTGCCAGTCGGGCGAGCAGTCTAAAAAATAGAATATGTCAATCATTTGTTCCGTGATGGAGCGCGGGGACTGGAGCGAGCTTCCAAAGCATTCATTTGACACCATGAAACTGCTTCAAATCAGTTGGGAACAAATTCTACAGTCCAAAGAGTGAACCCCTGCACTTCCAATGACGTCCCTTTTTCATTGTTGCCAGTAGAGACTTTCAGTTTGAAAAACACGGTGAGGACCAAAATTGTAAATTCAATAACTTCGTGAAAAAAAATTATTTTGACCTAATATTTGGGATACTATTTTGGCGATGTTGTTTGGCGAGTTTAGCAAAATTTCAAGCAAATCGGGGACCATGAAGAAATCGGCGGACTTCCCCTTTAACTACTCTCGCTAAGTGCAAAAATGACAGGAGGACACTTAATACCGCTTACGTTTAGGACTGCGAAAGCATTCGTATACATAGCTTTGTAATGCAGTGAATAGACAATGAATTGCAGTTATTATAATGTACTGCTAGAACATGGCCACCGAGCGCGGTGAATGTGTTGTAAAGACCAATTATCGGAATCTGTTGCAAGAACATCACCACTGTATGCACTCAACGAAAGGCGGATCCAAATTATTGGCATTTATAATAATAATAATAAGAATAAAAATTGGAAATTTAAAAGTAATAATTAATAATAATTGTAATAAAACTAATTGTCTTAATTTTGTTTGATATTTTTAAACAGGAGACAAAGCTATATCAGCAGCTTGACGGTAGCCCAGGCCCCTTACAGCACAAGACTCCGAAAACTGATAAAATAAAAAAAAGTGGTATGTCCCTCCGCCGGTACAATAAAAATATAATTTCCAGGAACAGAGAATTATGCAGCAAAGTATAAATAAGCATACATGATAAAAAAGTAGCGCAGAAAAGACGGGACACAGAAGAAGCAAAACACAGGACGAGCGCTAACTTGCAAATAAAAAGTTTTAAATAAACAATTCCACCGAGCAAACAACTATCGCGCACAGACACGTGGCACAACGTCACAAATTTTTCTTGATAAATAAAGACGATACCGCGTCCATACGAAGAAAATGGCAAAGTTATCTTCATAATTAAAGACGGCAATGGAGACAATGGTGTGGATCATGCATGTGCGCTACGCAATAAATAGCATCATGACGTAACAGGAGGGCGCATGAGCTGCATTAAAACAAACCCCAATAAGGAAACAGCCTGTACTCTACGCAACCAAAAAACAAAAGGCCTAAACTGTACTGTTAAAATCGCTCTCCTTTTATATTGAAGGGACATCGAAAAGGGTATTTATGCTCGCCGACGATTTTAGTTGAACGTGACATATGAGAGCCCAACTAACCAGAAAAGAATTTGCGGCTCGAAATTCGATTTCTTTCCCTCCAAAAACTGCCGATCGAGAACTGGCCCGTTTGAGTCGCGCTCACCTTCTTCCCCCTGGTCACAGGCTATTTTCTAAGGTTTAGAAACAACCACCAACTATAATCAAAGTCGTTGGAGGCACACACTCGATATTAAAAAAAAAACAAAAAACGTCGGAGGCACACACTCGATATTAAAAAAAAAAAAAATATGAAACCAATTTTTGTGGCTTCTAAACAGCTGCAAACACGTTGATTGAAAAAAGAAGCTGCACGGAGAACTGGAATCATTCTGTGTGCTCAATGCGTAAATCTCAACATGGCGTCGTTTCGCGTATCGTGGGACTCGCGGGCTGGACGGCGATGGCAGTGGACGACGGGCGTGGGACCTCTACTTCAGAGCTGTTGTTCCTGGTAGTGGCGAATTATGTCTTTCTTTGAAATAAATTTCGAGCCGATCAAAGGAATTGGTATTCTTACCGTACGACACGCCCGACCACCAAGCTGATTTGCATGAAGACGTCACCGAGCCGTCGCCCCTTTCTCGTGGCTGAACACATCGCTCGCGCAAACGTCAAGCACGAAATGCGTACTTCGAGTTGAATATGCACGCGTATGATTTCTTTACTAGGTGCGAATGTGGCTAATGCCTGGTGCTACCCGAGTTTGAGCCGGAAGTGCCTGTGCTGGAGTGAAATCAGCAGCAAACTTTCCCTCCTACAGTCGACCGGCTGCCTTATACGAAGGGTTCCCCCAGTAGCTCAGTGGAAATATGCCCGCTTCGCACGCAGCAGATCCAGGCTCAATCCCGAGTGTGGGCGTACCGTTTTTCCTTTTTCGTGAAACATTATGCGATATTTAAATTAATCTTTTTACAATTATTACAATTATCACTGAAAAAAAAAACGTTGTGGACTGGACGTCGCTGAACTAAATGGTATAGGATTTCCTTTTTGACACCTGCGAACTCAATATAGTCACTTTCCACAAAATACAAGCGGCATATAAATCGGGTAGCGTCCGCTTTCCGCGGCGCCCGTAAATGTTCTACATGAATTGCAGCCAGCCATTGATCGCGACCTGTTGATCTTTCGGAAACTTGCACAGACTCTGCCGCACAATGTCACTTTCGGATGCAGGACATGTGAGGCTGCTCTTCACGCAACATCTTGAGGCTATTCTTTTCGGAACCGATCACGGGAATTTACCACGGCCAATCACTATACTCATTTTCAACTGTTCAATGTACCAAACAATTCATCTTGAAGTGCAGAACAGCGAACGGAACAAACATAACTGCAAAGGAATCGCACGTCAAACAGTTCCCGCAACACATGTCGTCTGCTGTGCGCGGCAAAAAAATAAAAATTAATAAATAAATAAATAAAAAGCACACTGTCGGGTTTAGCCACTTGACTTCCCAGCACCCACTCTTTCCTTTATACTTTTCGAATGTCCGTGCGCAGGTTTCGGTTTCAGTTTCGAACAGTTGCGTTTTTCGGCTTTAATATAAATATGCGTGGCTCTAGCGAAATATTGCTTGGGTAGTCTTCCGACAACCACAATAAATCGCCGGGCAAAAAGTAAAAAAAAAAAATGGCGGGTGTTAGTGTTTATTTAAATGAACAGATGCGACGCTAATCCACATTGCTCAGAAAATATACATTTATGACAATATTGTTTCCTACCTAAGCATAAAGGAAGAACAAAACTTACAAAAATCCCCCTGCCGCTGAAACAAGCCCAGTGAATGCTGTTAATTGCCTGCGTGTGCAAGTTACTGAAATTCGCTGTAGCAACATGGCCGATGGGTGCGGTGAATATACTGTGAAGGCCATTTGTTGGTATTTTCCACTGGAACATAGAGAGTGGATGCAGTGAATAGACGGTGAAGCCAGTTATCGAAATTTGTTGCATAAACATGACCGACTGAAGCAGTGAATAGGCGTCGAATGTCAATTATTGGCTTTTTCCATTGTTACATGGCCGATGAATGTGATGAGGATCCGGTGAATTTCGGTTATTGGCAAGCACTGTGATTGCCCAGCCTACGAATCCAACACATCTCCGTTGCTGGCCATGACTGGTAATACACCGTATTTGCCGGTGCGGACAATTGCCACTCTTACCCAATATTAGCGGACACCGGGCGATGATAATTTGCTACTTGGGATAGAGAAGCACAAACCTGTGCAGGCAGAAAAGTAGTTGTTTTAGTGAACAAAAGTTCAAAACCCAGTCTCGGGGTTTTTGTCGAAATGTGTAGTTGTTTTATTTCTTTCCCGCCTGCTAGCTGATACGATCATAGAGAAAATAAGTTATTTTTTGGATTTTAAAATAAATTATAGAAAAAGATGAGCTTTTAAAGTAGCTATTTGTGAAACATATAAGCGCATATTCTATACAAACGCCTTTCATAGACGTGGCTTGCACGTGAGGTTATCGCGCACATGCTTCTGGTCATTCCCACATCTTCCTGCGAGAAAGAAAGCTTTCCGGGGTGCGAAGTGCATGCTGCAGAAGGTTCGCCCTCAGCAGCTAGGCCACCAAAATGGCATACGATGAGACGTCAGTACAAGCCACGTATTATTAAAGCCTCGTGACGGCAAATCAGACCTACACCCATACATGATGCGCGGTATCGGAATGCGTAATTGCCACCGACACTTTCTAAAAGCACGAAAGAGCTGCTGGGAGTTCAACGACCTGATAATTACGCAACGCGCACAATATACAGTCAGTTGCAATTGTAGTATGCCGGATGTAAATGTGATGCACGCTACTGACGGAACAAAGAAGGTGATTGCCCTTTCAAGCTGCTTACAGCCACCTGCTCTAAGAGTTAAAATCAGTGAATTATTCTTGTTTTCATTTCATTCCCAGAAACAAGTACTTGCTGGTAGAATGGCGAAAACATTCGTTATTTTTGCCGTAATTCTACATTGCGTCATCCTTCAAGAATGTATTTGCACTGCCCGTAAGTATTTGTTTTAAAGAAAACATTAGCGTTTATCACTGCCTACCTTGTCCGTTTACTACACAGTCCATCGCGGACAATATGTATACAAACAGATAAGCAACGCAGAATTATGAAAACTAATCTTCATGCTTCGCTTGAGCTGTTCTAAACCGGATGCTAATGGAAAAACAGATTCTCCAATTAGAATGCAATTAATTGCACCTCGCTGTGTTTGGAGATTTGTGTTTGTCCTCTGTCCCCCTTGTTCCCCTTCTCCAGGGATTATTTTCATCATGATTCTCCAATTGTTTTCTTCAAAGTCTGTGGACCGTAATTTCAGATAAATATTTTCACATGTGGGATGTTTTTTTTTTTAAATTCATATGGCAAAACGGAAAGATCTAACATCTTTTCAAAAACCTACTTCACTCTGTGGCACGTGCTTGTCGACATCCTAGACGAGTCACTTGATATTTCTATCAAATATTGATGTTTTTGCTCCTAATTCTCTGCTTTGATATATTAATATAGTGTTTATATTGATATTGTAAATAAACACTACATTTTATCACAGTGTTGCCTGAAATCTTAATTGCGGTTTATGACCAACCTATGGATAAATTGCGACGGCTAAAACTGAAGGGTTTATTACCATTTCAATAGGAAGCACAAAGACTGAAAAGGTGTTCCCCACGCTTATCGAACAACGAAGCTCAAAGGGCGAGCTAACTTTGAAAATTAACAACGACCTCGTGCTTAATCTACAAAAAACATCTGTGTTTTCGGATACCCTTCAGTTGTCATACTATGATGGAGACTCTATGCTTGTAAAAAATGTAAGTTGGAAGAAATTTTGAAGTTTTCTGAGTCAACGAATATTCGGCGAAATATGTTGGTATATTGCACATCACTAATTGTACTTAAGCAGTTATTGAAAAAACGCGCCTCCTTTTCGTCCAGATTCCAGAACATATATTTTCCAATCCTTTTTAGACGAATGCACTAACAGTGCCAGGTAGAGCTTCACCTAGTGTTAACGCAATGCCTAGGATAAGGTCATAAAACGACTGTTTTTATAGAAGAATAAAGATAAGATTGTATCTCGTTTCTTGGAAGTCATTATTAAATTCTTGTATTTTCTTACTGTAAATTTCTGTCGAGATATAACCATTTTATTTCTGCATACAGAAATTAAGATATGTCCTCATTAGGCGACTTCCAATAATAAGTGTTATGGTGGCACTAAATTTATGTGTTTTTATTACTTACATAATACGTACGACGATAACGCAGATATATTACATTATTTATTGTTTGATTAAAACCTTGACATTAATATAGTTCTTGATTACTTTATGGTGACGTATTTTGTACAGGTGCGTGCAGCAGTGATCGAGCAAGACTTGTACCACGATGCCCAACAAGGCGCAGCTCTCCTGGTATCCAATACCGATGGTGTTAGAGTGGTATGGAAAGTTTTTTAAAAGAAAAAAAATCGTACCAAGTTTTGTATTTTAATTTTGTTTTAAAGGATTTAACCCTATTACAAAAACCAGCATGAAAATCAAACTGGCCAAGCTGGTAACTAAGCTGGTCAATCTGGTGAATGTGGTAATCAAGCTTGTTTAACTGGAAATCAAGCTGGTTTAAGCTGGGCAAGGTAGAATTTAAGCTGGTCAGTCTGGTTTAAGTAAAAACCAGCATGGTCTAACTAGAATCTGGTTTTAGATTCAATCTGGTGTAGCTGGGAGCCAGTCTGGTCCTAACTGGTCAAACTGGTTTTCCATGGAGCCAATGCGGTCAAGCTGGGAGACAAGGTGGTCATGCTGGGAGACAAGCAGGTGAATCTGGTCGAACTAATAATCGTGGTGGTCAAGCTGGTCATGCTGGGAGCGCGGACGCCAAGGTCAGCTAGAGATAGCCGAACTGGCATTGCTGGGAGCGCGCTCGCCAAGGTCGGCTTAGGATGGAGCGAGGCCACGTCCTGTTCTTTGTCCTCTCGTTTTTGGTAGACGACAGGGCGCGTCAGGCGCACTGCAAGCTACCTTTGTGTGTGAGAAAAGAGAGAAAGAGAGTGGTAGGAACGGAGAATTTTAGACGCGTTTGGCTATCTTAGGCAGACTTTCGAAGGGACGGCTGTGTGCGCGTTGTTTGGAGACTAGTTGAACGACGATGCAAGCGAAGCGGGTTTTGAGGAGACAGCGAGCGGCACTCCGTTCAGTGCGGGAAGATGTCGGACGCCCCGACTGAGGCGTCACTTCGTGTCTTCGAACGTGTTTGTGCTCATGAATGACGGTGGTGCCGAGGAGTATCGCCAATGCCATCCAAGCCACACGGATTTCCTCGCCTCTGCCGACCACGCAAGTTGCCGCTTCGCCCCCATCACTGGCGGGACCCAGGTTCGCTTCTCTCATCCGAGTAGTTTTTTCTTTCGCTATTGCCTGTTTTTGGCGTGTGTCTAGTATTTTTCATGTTGAAAGATAAACAATATGGTTTTATTAACATTGTTGGCTTTGCACCGAGAACCACTGTCTGTGTGCCGGTTAGTATTGTGTCAGCGCCGAGGATGTGTAGCATCTAAGTTCATGTGAGGCGGCCGCAAGTACGAAAATAATAAATTGGATGCCGAGTTGGCTTGTCTGAAGAGCTTGGCTTGTTTATCCTGTGTATTTATTTAAACAGGTTAAACTGGTTGGGAAGTCCACCAGCATGACCAGTATAACTAGGATGACCAGCATGCCAAACTGGGCATGCTGGGGCAATAACCCAGCTTGAAGCTGGGGCCAGATCAACCAGCATGTCCAGCATGCCAAACTGGGCATGCTGGGGCAATAACCCAGCTTGAAGCTGGGACCAGATCAACCAGCATGACCAGCATGCCAAACTGGGCATGCTGGGGCAATAACCAGCTTGAAGCTGGGACCAGATCAACCAGCATGACCAGCATGCCAAGCTGGGCATGCTGGGGCAATAACCCAGCTTGTAGGTGGGACCAGCTTAAGCTGGTTTTTTCAAGAGGATTTAATTTAACTTTTTTCTAAATATCGCTGTGAAATTTGTTTTTTTTTTAGCTGTTTGCCATCCGGACATACGGAAGGCAATGCTATAAAGTTACGTAAAAACGAGGTAGAAGACATATATTACATAAAAGCCACGACGAATAAATTTCAGAACTGAAGGTTAAATAAGCGATTGCGAAATAAATACTTTTGAAATAGAAGATCATAGTTATAGCTAAGGCCTAAACAAAACGGCTTTTTTGTATTTTATTTAATATAAGTGAGGCCCCATAATTTTGTAGAACATTTACGAGAAATATACAATTCCTCGCAGGATTCATAAAAGTATTGTAAACTATGTGATGATACGGCGGTAGTTTGTCGCAATTTTGCAAATTTAATATTTTAAAGTGTCCTAGTTCTTCGGTTTGATCAGTCTTTTTTTATAATGTCACCCCTACAAAGACCAAGCTCTTTTTGGGGGTATTATAAACAAAACAGAACTACTTTTTTTTAGGAGGGAATGCTTGGCGATCGCCTGAGAATATCACCGATGGATACCACTGAACGAAATTCTGGAGGAAACTTGGCGCATCAAATTTTTGAGGTAGACTTGAAACACCCAGGAGGTAGGCTGAATTCAGAGACCTATCCCTCGATCACGACAGCATTCTTAGTTGTTCAATGGAAGCTTAAAACTTTTTCTTTTGACCAAGATTTCGAATTATCTCGCGCACTAATACAGTGTTCTGCTTCGAAATGAATAAAATGTGAATCTGCATTGCACCGTCAAATATAAATAACGATTTTACCGATTGATGACAATTATAAATTGATTGCGAAGCTTTAATGCTGCTAAATATGCCACGATCATTAGGTTCACAAATGTGTCGAGCCACATTCATGACAGAGACGTCAGAATTCTGGAGGATATACTTTGTTTACGGCTCAATGTTCAACGCCAACACGACAGCAGTGCTTTCTTACATTTTTCCTACACAGCACAGTTCCAAAGGGAGTCCCAAATAAGTACTAGTCACGTGACTAGTATTTTTGACGAAAGCTATTCACTTAGAGAAACAAAACAAACTGGTGGTGCCTTTTTTCTGTGTGAACATTTCACTGTACACATCAACAACGAAAAGTTGTTTTAATATATCTACAAAGTTAATTTTAACAAAAATACTTCTAAAATGTTTAACTAATTTCACAGGTCAGCGCCAGTAGTCATACATATTAGTGGCAAAGGACTGGATAACGTGTATTACACTGACATACAGTTTGAAAGAACTGAAAATGGAGCAACATTCAATTATTAAGCTGAATTGGTTTACAATGAAAGAGGACTATACCTACATATAAGTATTCTAACGTGTTTATTTTATAACCTTTAGAGCATGACATGGATGCATTATCATCAAATAAATATTTTGTTTCAACGAATGTTTCAAAGCCCTCTAATTTCAAAGCAGTGGAACGAGCACGGACAGGTAAGCGTCGCTGGTTTCATGCGCAGGATCTTCAAGAAATAATTCTACTTAGTAACAGAATAATTCGTCCCAAGTGTAGATTTCGTACTAGGAACAGACACCACTGTAATAGCTTGCAGAAGCCCCAAAAGATTAAACTCAGAGCTTAACTGATTTTCCAATTCACCATTTTTGCAAGCATGTCAAGACAAAAAAAAAGACAAAATAAAAAAGGTCACTCTATTCTAGTTTTTTTTCTTCTTAACTTTGTATTAGACTAAGTTGTGGACTAACGTTGATCTGCAGACTTTTTAATAAATTTATGTTTTCACTTTTTGCGCGAAAAATTTTCAATAGACAAATGTTCCTACTAATTCCACGTAACAGAGATCTTCGGCTCAAAAGTTGATTTTTGTCAGCAAGTTTAGGGTCTAAAACGTGCCGAAGAAGCCAGTGTAGAGCCAAACTTTACCTTTTCTGACCAAATGTCCAAGTTCGTCAAATTTGTGAAAACGTTAGGCCAAACTGCTACTAATTGGGCTGCCATCTGGCATCTTTGGGCTTAAATCGAAAAACAAGTGCCAGAGATAAGTAACTTCGGGCTGTTCGGTTTTCGTGCGGCAACTTTGAGCACATATTGCCACAGCACAATACTTAGGCTTCACTGGGGGCTCTTCGGTACATACGTGGCATTGTTTTACTGAAGCCTGGAACCTTGGCTTTTAAGTGGAGATCCATAGAAAAGCCATAAACGCACAAAAAATATACTCCGGCACGAACTAACTTCTTCCAGCAAAACAATCTATGTTAGACCCCGAATACGGCCAAGCTTGTGCCAAGATAGGCGTTTCTTTGACGTCTACCTGGTATGTCTGTGTAAAATATTCAAATACCTTTAGTGACAGACATGGCATCGCGTTCTCGATGGCGTAGAATGTATGAATTATGAAAATAAGGTTGCTTTTCTTACTAACGGATTCAAACCTTGTGCTGCAAAAGCATCTACCTGTGTTTAATATTTTTGGGGGTTTATGAACACGTGTAGGTTAGTAGCAAATAAATAAAGCTACACTTATTACACTAGAATAAAAACTTCGAGTGTCCCCTTGGAAGCCAACTTTCGCTCAACAAGCCGCCTTGCAAAGCAATAGAGCAACTGTCTCTAGAGAGATGAATATCTGTACAGAATAAAGTTGGGATGTATTGTGCAACTATGAATATGAGTTAACATCACATGAACATCATTACCTTTTTGGGGGCACTTCTTTTACAGAAACACTTATTGCAATTATGTGCTCTAAAATACCCCAAGCTTCTTGAAACACACCTATAGATAGCAAAAAGTGATCATCCACTTTTTCATAAAATTCTGCGTGTGTGTTCTTTTTTTTAGAAATATTGGCCACAATTAGGCCTGAGGTCCACCTGCTCATAGACTCGGCGCTTACGGGAAAATTTAAGAAAGCTTCTAGAGTCGCCAGATATTACGCCGTATTCGCTGCTTTCGTAAGTGCTAATTCCTACAATATTGTTAGGGCCAAATAACTGCAGTTTACAGTGCTCAGTCACCATGGCGCTCCCGTCTTACAAACATCTGCTGTCATTCAACCCTTTACGTATCAGGACGCTTTGCGGTGATACGAAGAGTTCGTTTGTGTCTATAATGGCATGAATCAAGCATAATAGCATTTTTACGTAGCCCTATGGCAAAGCAAAAGTTATTACTTATTACAATGGTGTGCGAAAATATTTAGTTCCCCATGCTGGTGATTGCGTCACTCATATGCGCTCTATTACATAAAAGTATAAAACTTAGAAAATACTTCCAACAAACCGCTATATAAGAATTCCAGTTTCCACATCAAGGTGATTTGGAAACATTCATACCCTCAGAAACTATGGCTTAATTTAGGTTTTCTTCGATTCCTAGCCTTCACCAAGCCAGAAAGATTTCTGTCAAACTTAATGGTTGAATACAAAATTATTAACAAGTTCAAAAGTAGCATATTCAAATGTTTAACTAATATACATCTGAGTGATAAAACTAAGTAGCTATATTAGCTTATTGCATAAAATATGCATCACATGCAGCTGCCTTATTTGAATAAAAATGAGATAACATTCGACTAATATTCAATATTGCATATGCATTTTTGTTTTTGTTTTTATTGCGCATTCGGACTTAACAAACTATGTGTTAGACATTGTAAAGCTTTAACCAAAGTGATTATTGAAGCATGCGTGTCCCTCATTCTTTCAGGTGAATTTGAAATTTAAAACACTGGAATATTGGCTTGATGTGCAGCTTGTGATTACGAAAATCACGACGTATTCTGTAAGTTGTTTATTACTTCATTCATAAGCTCATGCAAACCCTGTCTTTTTAATATATTACTTGTATTAAATAGCTCAATGGCTCATGTGTTTCTTTAGTCAAGTTTCAGCATTTTTGCATTTGTCGGCTTCTGCTTAGGTGTTACCGTGGTATATAAATCCAATGGGCTCAGCTTCTCACTTCGTTATTGATAAACTAGTCGAATATCCAACACCTCATAACGAAAACAGACGATGTTACTAAAACAATTATATAAGCAATTTTCTAAGAAAGCCAAATTGTACACCATAATATTGAAACGACAAACTTATGGTGACAATTATTAGGATAGGTTTATGTTGACTGCTTAATCAAAGTTCATAACAGAAATACTTATAATTAACAAAAAATTTAGCGTTTCCACCCACGTGCTATAAATCGAGCAGAAACTAGGTAGAAAACGTGTCGTTTAAAGAAGAATATTTAACTTTTTAACTTCAGCACTATATAGGAAGGGTTCGAAATTATTGTACGTGCTAACTATAATAACATAACAAACAAAAATTGAAAGTCATACAATATAAGGTACAGAAGGCAGTTTGCCTATAGCCATGCAACAATGTACAAAACGAGGACACTTCAAACTTTTTATATACCTTAAAATAGAGGTAAAGCTAAGTGTTTCCATTTCGTTTCATCAAAAGTTATAAGTGTAAAGTGTTTGATACTCGACATCCAGCTGTGTGCAAAGATGTGTAGTCAAGGTTTTGTCTGTTACAGAAGCAGTACTATAATTTTACGATTAGTAGAATGATAGCAGATCAGCCACGTGCAATCTATGATGCTTACCCCTAAAACATAAAGTAAAAGTTACTTAATGCATTGTAACACCAATTTCAGAAAGGAAAAGACTCATTCGTTAAGAAACCGAGAGGCAATGAAAACATTATACTGATAAGCACCCTAGACAGTCTAGAAATATTTATGAAAAACAAGAAAGAGTCTAAGGACGATGATATTGTAATCTTGCTTACTGGGTATGTACACATCACCTGAAAATTGTTTCTTAATGTTCCACATTCTCTTATAATGATGTTTATCAAAGTAGGATTAATCATGACTATGTGGTTACATCTGAGAGTTGCGTTCATGCTCTATTACTCTAAATAATACTATATGGCTCTCATGCTGCCGCTCACCGCAAATGTTTGCAGCAGAGCAAACTTAGGGATCTTCATTGTTTGATTGTATAACCTAAACACTACACAATCAAGTTTTTTTTTGCCCTCTAGTAAACTTCCTTTCTCTGTTCATGTTGCTTCCTAGGTTTATATATCATATATAAAAAATATGCGATTTGTTAAAGAATTTTTTAACATAAATAAAGCAATACCTTACCGTAAAACAAAGGCATACATAACAAAGATAAGATCTCCCAAACGAAACAAAAGTGGTAATACGTTTTTCATAAGAGACTGCAGGTTGAAAAACTAGGCTTATATTAATTGAGGGAGCTAAAATTGAATCCATTATTTCCCAATTTCAGTAGTGCCAAAATAATGAAGTAAATAAATAAAAGTATTACATCCAGATGAACGACTCGTAAAGCAGTAAAAGTTAAACTCGAGTTTAACTTTTAACTATAACTTTGTATGCTCGATTCGCATAGCAACCGTGACTGGGTCCGGCGCCCCTGAATATTTAAGACATATCTCAAAAACATCAATAAGATATTACTCCTTACCTAAAACAATAAGTCAACACTGATTTTGCACGGGACAGCGTAAAGGAGCTCATGTCGCAGAAAAGCCGGCGTCGGCGTCGGTGGCGTTGTGACGGTAAAAACCTGATATGTCGATAGGGTCATGATGTCACAACGACATGACCTCGCGCGGGAATTTCGAACGACACAAAGGGCTCACGTGAAACGTAACGACACGTGTGGTATGAAAGCGATTAAAACGTTAAATGTAACGCGAGTCAAAGGTCGTCGCATGTCTCAAATTATTTCACTTCATAAAGTAATTCATTTGACCTAAAGAAAAGAAAGTGAAGACTAAAACTTGATTCGAACTCACGACCCTTCGGTTGTGAGCCAGACACGCTACTGACTACGCTTGCACGGTTTGAGAGCGAGCGGGAATTTATATATTGAGCTATAGCGTTCCACTCTTAAAGGCAAAGCTGAAGCGTCCTCCTTTTTTTTCTTTTGCTAAGCCAATAGATACAACGCAGTCAAATATAAAGCTTAGCACAGCAGGTAGGATTGCAGTTCATAACTGGTTGCGAAAATGAAAATGATGCAGAATTTCTTTCATCGCGTATAGCTGTTTCTTTCACTTTAGTTTGGGTTTCTTAGATCCTATAATGAAGCAATGCTGCCCATCTGAAAGTAAATACGAATATACGTAATTAACTGAAGCCACAAGCAATGTTGTTTCATGACCTTCAAGTAAAAGTAATAGCTCGACATGAGTCCCGGAGGAAACACTTCGAAATAAGCGTAATATTTTGAAAACTTTTAGTTTTGTTTTATTAGTTACAGTTGCGATGACCAATATGAAATGACAATAAGTATTTGCAAAATCAGTAAAAGAAAAACGTGCAAATCTTCAACCTTCATATTCGTAAGAAAAAGAGCGACTTTTTGAATTAAGCATTTTACGTGATACCTCTTTTCTTGACATCCGAACACAATTGCATCAAGTGTTTTGTTCTTGCTTATTTTTTTTTTTTTTTCAATCTAGCTGCTTTCATTTGAAATCATATTCTGCATCCGCTTGATTATTTCTGGATCTAAATACAATTGCTTTCCACTTGTTAGAATTCATTTTTAAAACAAGTTCTGACATTAAAAGAGATTTTTTTAAAAACGAGAACCTCCTACAAGGCCTATTTTGCAATGCTTAAAATATCGACATCCATATCCCGTACTACGTGCAGCGTTAAAATATCGAGGCAAATTGAAATGTTGAGGTGATTTTAACGAAATATATGAAATGTTAATACATTCGCAATAAACAGGACAGATTAAATATTTAAGATTAATAAGACGCTTATATGTTCAAGCTGACCTTTCCCGAAACATAGAGATCTGTGCAATATAATAAATCCATCTTATATGCATGACCGTGGAAAGACGCTAGATATTTCCTTTGGTTCAAATTAACTGCAGACTTAATGGTAAAATATTCTTCACTCTAATGGCATACCCTTGTTAACCTTGCATTGTTTTTGGCGAAACCCACCATTGTTTGAATAAAAAAAAAACTCGACGAAGTTAGCGGATAACAATGTCTCAGTTAACCTTTTCACTTTAAAAAGCTACAAAAATATCTTACATAAACAAAAGCAGACTTAGAACATTAGTGTAGTTGCAAAAATAGTTCAAAAGCCGGGAGTTGTCATGATTAAAATAAGAACACCGACTATTTAATCATGACATCTCCCGGCTTTTGGACTATTTTTCCATTTATCCGAAACCTTTACGGTTCCGTCGCACTCAGCAACGTGAGAGATTACGTCAACCAGTCAAATCTATCATTCGCCTGGAATGCCACCAAGACTTCAACCGCCAGTGCCTCCACCGGGGCCTCATTCCTCATGGCCTAGGCTGCAAGCCTCTCGTGCACACCCACTATGGACGCAAGTTGGTCCGCGACTTCAGCCGAAACTGCATAAAAGCTCGCATCCAAGACAACAAGCAACGGATCACCTACGCCAGAAAACGACAAGCATCGGCAGAACGGAATCTTCGGCATGTACTACAATACGACGACCTACGCAGCATATTCATCGCAAGGGAACAAGCAGAAGACATGGAAAGAAGCAAGTATTCAGAAATACACAGCAAGAAGCTCGCCCGACTTCAACCCGAGGAGCCTGCTTCACGAAACGAGAGAACTACTATCTTCAACTACTCATCAAAACATCTGTCGGACCACCACGTGAGTCTCTTGGCCAAGGGCCTTAACTTTTCTATGGCCCCCCGCTACGTTCCCAAGCGTGACTTCATAGTCGAAATCGAAGAAAAACTCCGACATATAAACAACGTAACTGGCGTGAAGCTTGCCCGTAGTCGCGTGCTCTCGATTTTGAACAATGCCAAGCCACCTCAGCCTAACCTTGCCCATCATGAACGCAAGGCGCTACAGGAACTGAGATCGGATGAATCAATCATCATTGTGCGTGCCGATAAAGGTGGCGGAACGGTGATCCTCGACAAGACCGACTACGACGAAAAAATGTACGCGATCATTAACGATACCGACCACTTTGCGAAATTGCCCCGCGACCCAACTGCAAAAACTGAGCGATCGCTAGTTGACCATCTCAAAAAACTCCGTAAGAAAGGTAGGCTTAGTGACCAGTTGTACCTTCGCCTTTTTTCCTCCGATGGTAGCACGCCTAAACTTTACGGTCTCCCAAAGGTACATAAGCCGGAATGCCCCCTTCGTCCCATTGTATCTTTTATTGGCTCCCCCACGTACGATTTATCGAAGTATCTGGTAGAATTGCTAACACCCTTGACAGGGAACAATAACTTTGGCGTAAAAAATTCCCAAGAGTTTGTACAATTGATTCGCGCTCAAACTCTTCTTCCACACAAAAGCATGATTTCGTTTGACGTTGTTTCCCCCCCCCCCCCCCCTTTTCACAAATGTTCCCAACGATCTTGGAGTTGATGTCGCCCGACAACGCTTACTTGATGACCGAACGCTCTCTACTCGCACGTCTCTGCATGTAGATGATATCATTTTGCTTTTGCGTTTTTGTCTGAACCAATGTTTCTTTGCCTTCCGTGGGGAGGTGTACCATCAAATGAATGGCTGTCCAATGGGAAGCCCTGTCTCTGTCACTGCCGCTAACCTTGTAATGGAGTATATCGAAGAGAAAGTGTTCGGTGAGATTGTATTTCCTGTCAAGTTTTATCGTAGGTATGTTGATGACACTTTCGTTATCCTAGACAAGAATTTTGTTGATGATTTTCACCAATGCTTAAACAGCGTCCACCCCGTGATTAAGTTTACCTACGAGCCGCACAACAGGATGTAAACCAAGTTGTATCGTAAACCATGTGACAGTGGTAATTTTCTAGATTTTCTTTCGCACCACCCTGTACAGCATAAGAAGTCTGTTGTACGAACTTTTGTTCACAGGTCAAACACTCTGCCCTCTAACGCGACCTATTGTGCTAATGAGCTCGCACGTGTACAAGAGTCTCTGCAAAAGCGAAACTACCCCGGGTGCTTTGTAGATGAGGTAATCAACCAGACGAAACGAAAAACGCACTTTAATCCAGCCGACAGTGAACGTAATATCTTCTGCATTCCGCACGTTAAGGGAGTGTCTGAGTCGCTAAGCCGCGCCCTAAAACCTGTAGGTATTCGAACTGTGTATAAACCGTACCGAACTATAGCAAGCATTGTGTCTAAGCCAAAGGACCCCACCCCTGCGGATACGGAGAAAGGCTTTGTGTACAAGATCCCCTGCTAGGACTGCAGCTCTTCGTACGTTGGGGAGACCAGACGCAAGAAGATAACCAGGATGAAAGAACACCAACGTGACGTCAAGTATTCCACGAACGCCACCCGTCTCGAGACGGAGCTGGTCGACCACGCGTGGACCACAGGACACACCTTCGACTTCACAGCCGCGACGACCTTGGCGAAGGAGGATAGGTGGGGCCCACGCAAACTACTTGAGTCATGGTTCATCCGCGGAGATAAGACAGCATGCAACAAGAACCGTGGCCCCCTCCCGGAAGCTTATATGGACCTTCCCGATAAATAGGACTGCGTTGACCGAAGCTCTCTCATTCCTGTGTATGTACTGATGATGCCTCCCGCATGGGAGGCGAAACGTTTAATGAAGTTGTTTTTCTTGTTATGTGAAGTCGGTGTTCTTATTTTAATCATTAGTGTAGTGTTTTGAGAGGGTCTTTAAAATGACCAAAGCATATGCACCGCAGTAAAGTAGCATTCTTGGTGCTTTTACAACGGATACACCAATCCAGTTTTCCTGATAAATTTGGTGAGAAAATCGATGTTACGTGACATAAACAAATCCAGTTTCCCCGCCAAATGTAGCTGGGAGTTCGAAGCGCACCTGACCGGACGACGTGTGAAACATCAAGACACTTTTCCCACTGAATCTAGTAGAAAAATTCACGTCACGAGACCTATACACCACCTTGGTTTTCCAGCAACGTTTAGCGGGGAACTTGGAGCTATTTGCTCAAGCACTCAGTTTCCCCGCCCAATATAGCGGACAAATCAAGAAGATTAAAGAGTCGTCTTCCCTCCCATAAAGACCGTTTAATGGTTTCTAAATAATTTTCACCAATCGCATCTTAAATATTTTCAGGCATCATAAAACTTTGAAAATAAACGTCGCTGTTAATTTTTCTTTTAACTTTACCTTTGTTTTATATGTTTATAAACCAGATCCTTATTGCTCTAAATTGTGGACATATAGAATTAAACATTGGTGGTATTGTGAGCAAGGTGCATGCGACGACGGAGCAGTGGCGGGCAAGATCGTCTTGCGCTAGGACTCAAGAGCTGTCTTGGCCTCAATAAATCACTTTATATTCCGTCATCGCCTGTCTTGTCTTTTGTGCTGCTGACGGCATCATTGTACCGATATAAAGACTTTTTACCTCATATTTATAATTCAAGCAAACGATTTGTATGGTTTCCATCATTCAAAGTCTATTAAGTGTGAGAAACCATTTGAGCGTATCCAGAGTTACATAATTTAGACCACACATAACTAAGGACACCAACAAAAGCATGGAAAGGACACTGTGTTCATCTTTCAATGACCAAAAATGTATGTTTATATGACGCGTGTTTTCGCTCTAGCTTTAATCGGTTCTATTATATGAGTGTTTTGTTTTGTTATAAGTCTAAACCTTAACTGCGCAAGATTCAGAAAGTATCGACATTTACGACCAAGGAGGAACGATATCCTGCTCTACATCGTACAAAAGAGGGTTCGATGCCTGGCGGAATAGGTTCGCCAACTATAGCTACTTTGTAGCGAAGTTGCGCGTACCCTTCGTAGCGCTGCGTAACTATGTGTGACGTATACAAAAATTTTAATTTGGAAATAACGTTAAACATATATTAGAGCGTTCTATCTTAAAACGATTTTAAAAGGTTTAAATCATTTTATGTATGACTCAGCATAAACTCGTTTTCAGGTTAGACATCGCAGTGCCTTCCTCGGGAAGTGATACATTTCACTCGCAAGGCACAGCAGGTAAGTTTGTCGATCAGTCCTCAACCTTTCTCAAGTTCTTATCGAGCTCAAGTGAAGTGAACAACTGAGCGTGCAGCGTAGATGCTCCTGGAGGCTCATAAAACTACGGTGTGGGGAAGGGAGCTGCGAAGGGTGTGCTTCCCACTAGAGCCGCGTATAGAGAGATTTTGGTCAATGAGAGGAGGGGGCAGAGCCAGGGCGTGCACCAGGCGCAGATAGAGGGCTTGACATGCTCTCTTGGCCAACCAGAAGCCGAAATGGCCGAAAAGAATCCCCTAGCCATGTCGCGAGGAACAGTTTTAATAAGAGCATAGTTAAATGTGTTACTCTTCATGGCTAAAAATATGGTTCACGTAATGTTTCGATTATGATCACGCATAAAGATGTAGGAAACGAATGTGCCGCTTGAACACTGTTTTGCTCGGACAGAGTGTGACCGCTCGGCAGGCAAACACCCCGGCCCTTGGCGCCTGGCCGATCGTTCCGCTAGTCGCGCTCTTCCACCATGATTTTCGATGACCGCGATTGAAACATCACGTGCACCATATTTTCAGTCACCGAGTTAGTCCGACGCACTTATTAATTTATTTTCTCGCGATCACTGCCAGGGTAATATTTTCAACTTCTGGTTGGCCACATTCGAATTTGTAAAGACGCCCTGGAACACGCCCAGTCCGCTTTCGGCCAATGGCGTCTCCACCTTTGTCACCTATACTTCCCAATGAATGGCCGAACTCTCTGTATATACGGCTCATCCCACGACCTCCTTCTCCGCTCCGCAGTGTTATGAGTTCACAGGGGCTTCCAGGCGGCGCAGTGTGCATCAAATACCACGCGCTCAGTCGTCCACATTTCAGTCGGGCCAAGTACCTGAAGATATGCCTGGCAGAACCATTGCTGGAAGAAGCTTCGGCAAGCTGAGTGCTTTACGATATCTCTATGGCGACTGGAACGCGTCTCTGATCGATATGTTTAGCGCGTCTAGGAAAGTGGTCCCTCAATTTCCGCCTGATGACGTCATGAAAGGAAATGCTTTCGCCGGCTGCGATCCTGGCAATGTGCCAGCAAGGATCGTGGATATGGCAGGCGCCTGTTCTGCTATAGGTCGCTCTCCGGTTTGGCAGTATACGGAAGCTTCGGTAGCCAGAAGTTGGGACGCCGCGACGACAGCGACACTCGTATTCGCTCCTGCTTTTCACCAGCATTTCTACGACCAACCGCCAGGATCGTGACATCCGACAGCATGGCCCTCTGGCGTTTGTCACGTCATTTACTTTGCATGTATGGGCGGGATAGAATGTAAACACACAACTAAGAGACACGGTTTAGACACCATACTATCGCTTTACCCAAAATTCCTGAAACACACACGGCAAGGGTCTACGCCTGCTTGAAACACGGAGAATTTGAGATTTTAATGTTTATATGAAAGCTCTGTTCAGTTGGAAACGAGTGTCCGAGAACAGCACCCTACTGCTGCTTTTGTGCACGCACTATGTTCAAGAAATTTCTATTCCAAGCTACACGATCTAAGCCGAGAAAGCTGGAACTTTCCAGAAGAACAAAGATGCGAAAAAGAATAAACTAAGCCGGCGGGGTGCGACCCGCCCCCTCACACTTTGGAGTGGCAGCCGTGTGGGTTGCCGACTCTGCCACGTACGCTGCTATATCGAGCGTGGAGTTCCTAAACAATTTAGAAACTCACATTAACTCCTACATATCATATTAAAGAAAAATAATTGAGGCTATACTCTTTCAGTCGTCACAATAAAGCACATATATGTCACACCACTCACTTTTAAAATGATCAACTTACATTTTTACAATACAGCCTTTCAGGCACGAAGAGTGCACCTAATTTAAAAACAAAATATTCCTCAGTTGCCAAACATCTAGATACATACATAAATATGTACGTGGTAAACGAGGATGACTTTTAAAGTTCGTTATGTTAAACCAAAATAAACTCTGCACTAGGATACTGCAATTTCGTGTATCTAAGTTTGCTACGATGCTTTTTTTTTTATCTTTCTGTATCTCGCCCGTGATAGAATGAACTTGACAGGAATAAACTTCCAGGGTGTTCTTGATATATTTTTAATTGATTTGATATATTTTAATCATGTTAAGAATGTTTTCGCGTATCTTTTTGAAGAATGTTGACGAAATTTTAAGATTGGTGCTATGCGTTTTGTTTCTGAACTTTGACTATCGTTGTGGTCCGGGATGGGCGAAATACATGCAAATATGTATCTAAATACAAATACAGAATACTTCGTCAAAAATTTAATTAATTACAAATTTAATTACATTTTCAAAAAAGCATTTAAATACAAGATACAATTACAACCAAATGTATTTGGCCTCCTCCAAATACTTTTCCAAATACATTCCTCAAAATTTGTGTCAGCGACTTCAGTGCACCTGCAACGGGTTTCTCGGCATCTCATTTTAATTTTGCATCAAACACTCGGGAGTTAGTGTGCGAGGCTCTAGTAACGTAATAGAAATATAATCACAAAAAATGTAATCAGCTTGGACGTAATAGGTGAAAAAAGCACAGAGCTTCAAGCAGCTTTTTTTTTGTCGATTACATTTTGGTATAGACCAACAAAGAACCGAGACGACCAAGACGCAAACCGAGTATCTCATTTTAATTTTGCATCGCACACTCAGGAGTTAGTGTGCGAGGCTCTAGTAACGTAATAGAAATATAATCACAAAAAAATGTAATCAGCTTGGACGTAATAGGTGAAAAAAGTACAGAGCTTCAAGCATCTTTTTTTGTCGATTACATTTTGGTATAGACCTACAAAGAACCGAGACGTCCAAGACGCGCCCCAGGGGTGTATCTCAAAACGTCCCATTGGCATTTCAACCTTGCACATTTCAACCCATTCTCATTTGGTCCTTCTCGTTTGAACCTTCTCATAAGATTTGAATCATGTTTTTCGCAACTGGACCGATTCTCATTTCGGCCGTTCGCGCTACGACCGAATGGCACTAGTTCGGCATGCTTCCAACGTCCTTATGCCTTCGCGGCTTCGTTGATAAGCCTTACCTTGCTCCGACCCCCAACATACCATCAGATATATGTTAGGTGTAGAGGTACGCACTGAGAATCGTATGTTGACGCCTGCTTCCCTTCCTCTAAGCAAACGAGAAAAAAAAAGCGATGAACATTTGATTTGAAAATATTGTTTGAACAGAAATAGCGTACATAATAGCAGTCGTTATCAACCATTGATGTTTCGCGGACCCCTTGTAGAAAGGCAGAGATGATGGAGGACCCCGTTCGGGGTGAGGGGAATAAAAAGGTATAGGTTATCATGATAATGATTTAATAAATGTATATACCTAATTGCTAGTGCAAGGTAGACTTATCTCATTGACATACACACGAGAGTACTCTCGCGAAAATTAGAACGTTTCTTCTCAACGTGGAGAAAGACAACTAATATTGCCGTGCCTGACTGACGAGACAGGGCTCCGCGGACCCCTGGATGTCTTTGCAGACCCCTTTTGAGAACCACTGCATTATAGAAGTGGTGGCATTGTCCCGAGTCGAGAGACCTCAAACGACGTGACATTTCGGAATATGAACTGACTGCGATAAATAGTTGGTCCGTTTTATTATCAGCTAGTAGCTTCTCACGACGACCTCGAGGCACTGCTAAAATCCCTAACAGAGAAAGTATGCCTGTAGTGTGGCACACACACACACACACACAAATTATATCGATGCATTAATATGAACCTCGATTTTACGAAATTCGATTTTACGAATTTCCCGGTTTAACGAACAAATTCGGATTCCCTGCGCAGCAAATGCATGAGGTCTCCCTTCCTCGATTTTACGAAGTTCCGATTTAACGAAATAATTAGCGGATCCTGGTGACTTCGTTAAATCGATGTTCAACTGTATTACCCTAAAAAAAAACTATTTTGGTATAGAAAGAGTCAAGTGCGACGGAGGAACGGGCTCAAATGATAACCACCCGACGCGCAGCACTAGCTAGGGAATTTTTTAATGTTGCAACTCGCACCAGTTACAAAAAACTGGACGACCCGCGCATTTAGAATGTTCCAGGCAAAAATATGGATGAAAGTCAGTCTGGAAAGCATCACAAGTGGTCACAGGCACTTATTTAGCCAGTCTGCCTGTGAGCATCGATTTCGTCACTATTCTTGCCCTGGACTAGCACCGTAATCACAAAGTCACTAAACGCTTGTGCTTGATTGAGAGACAGTGCATTCGGTGCTGAACGTAGTTTTCTTCTTGCTCTGTACATCGGCAATAAATTTGAGGGATGTATTTTCGCCCATAAAATTGTATTTAATTACAATTGTATTTGAAATACCCACGTTTTAGTATTTAAATACACACCTCAAATACATTACCCAATTTGTAATTAAATACAAATGCAAAATACACAAAGTATTTGTAATACGTATTTCAAATACTTATATTTGAAATACTGCCCATCCCTGGTTGTGGTTATTAAAAAATACCAAATATTTTCAAATTTTTTCTTAAGAGGCGTTTTTTAAAGGATACAGCCTGTTTACATGCATCTCATAAAAATAATTCAAAGAAGAAACGTCCATATAAATGTAGAACTGATGCCTTTAAATGTCCTTTTTTTTTTCCGCGGTCAATTGATATCTGGAATAAATTACCTAATGAGGTTGTAAAAATATCAATGCCTGAGTTGGATTTTGACGAACTCAAGTTGTTTGTTTAAATCTCAAATGCAAGTGTCTCTAAGATATGAATTTGTTGTGCTTTTTTTCCGTGCATTTCATATTTGTTATAATATTTTGATCATGTATACAGTTTTTTGTGTGCCCCCCCCCCCTTACTGTAATGCCTGTTTAAGTGTTGTAGGTATTCAAATAAATAAACCCTAATTGTTTTGCAATATTGTCTGAAGGTTACGCATTCGTTGGTTCTGCGTGCACTTCAAAAAAGCTGGGCATGGTGGAAGACGACGCCAACATGTTCACTGGTACGCACACATTCGTTCACGAGGTTGGACACGTGTAAGTTTCTAATTTAATACTTACTAGCCTTTCACGAATATCAGGAGGCAGAGAAACAAATCGCGTCGATAAAAGTGCGCATAATTTTTTAATATATATGTAACCGCATGCTTTATCCTTGACATGAGTGCACGGTCGTCGATAGCTCAAGATAGATCACAGCATCTTACCACAATGTATATTACAGCACGCGCAATATTAGCGTTTTGAAATTGGTAATGTACCTACAAAGTCAGTGCAGGGTGTGTTTAGATAAGGACGGGCATGGTGTCATGCCTTTTTTTTGTTTTCAATAAAATTTTTATATCATGTAGCAAAACCTGGCCACACAGCGGGACAGAGCTTACTATTGCAAGACAGTTCTTTGTGTTCGTGAGAAAGATCACATTCAAACGAAGGTTGAAAAAACGATTTTCCCAACCGCGCGAAGGCGCAAATTTGAAGGCGGGTGGAATAAAGAATGCAGCTTTCTACACCGTCACTTATTTCACGTTTAATGCACGCATACTTTTCTGTCAGAGTTAGTTAAAGTTAACTTATATTAGCACGTATTTCAAGCGATATAAAATGCCAAACGTGACTTCTTTTGCAACCCTTATATATCCGCGCGCCAAGTAGGCAGCGCGGCCGCGGCCTAACGGTTATCGCGCTTGCCTCCCTCGCGCAGAGCGAGGGTTCGATTCCCGGGAGTTACGCGTCCTTTTGTTTATTCTTGCAGTTTAATGTTCTGGTGAATTCGAGAACTCTGTTGCCTGTTCGAGGTGCGAATGTTTTAGTCGCGGAACCTTCCAGGTCGATTGTTCCAGAAGCCAACGCGTGTATATAAGGGGGAGCCCCTTATATACACGCGTTGGCTTCTGGAACAATCGACCTGGAAGGTTCCGCGACTAAAACATTCGCACCTCGAACAGGCAACAGAAGATGAAAACAGAGCGTGGCGATCTGCAGTCAGTCTCGCCCCAGCGCTCGAACCTGCTGTTAGGCCGACTTCGACGCCCGCGACGCTCTGTTTTCATCTTCTGTTTTTCCTTTTTGTTTTGGGCACAAGTTCGCCTCATTAAACGTTTAGTTTCTTCAGCTATTCCTCGCCTCATCATTTGTCATTCGTGACATTTTGGTGGAGGTTCTGGGTTCGCAGAGCGTCGTGGCGATAGGGAGCGGGCTTCACGGCAGAGAGGCGGCACTGGTGAGGGTGAGCGTCGGAGGTACTCCTCGATATCGCGAGGGCGTTCGCCGTACCTCGGGCGTGGGTCGTTCGGGTGGAAACCACGCAGCCCAAAACGACGGTAGGGGCAGCCGCGGTAGATGTGGTCGGCTTCCCCGCAATGGTAGCAGAGCGGCCGACGGTCGGCCCTTCGCACACGTCGGTCTTTTTCGGCGAGGATCGCTCTTGGCGGACGTCCTGGACTTGTTCTTGGCGTCGAGGGTTTTGCGGCGTTGGATTGTCCCGTCGAGATGACGCCTGGTATTGATGGGCAACAGGCGGCGGTCGGCGGGCTAGGGCGGAGTGTCGGCTCCTCTTGCGCCACCATGGTGCCGGGAACCGTTGGCCGGAGTGTCCGGTGAATTTTTTCGCGAACAGCCTCAGCGATGAACAGGGATGCCGGAGGACTGGCCGCAGGTAGCAACTTTTGGAGCTCCTCCCGGACGACGTCGCGGATAACCTCACGGATGTCCCGGGTACGGGCGCCGATCTCGTCGTTAAGCAGCGTGGAGGCAACGACGCCGGGATGTCGCTGGTAGGAGGAGGCGCGTGCTTGAAGGGCGCGCTCCATGTTCGTTGCCTCCGTGACAAACGCTTCTACAGTGGTCGGAGGGTTGCGGACGAGGCCCCCAAAGATGTCGTCCCGCACCCCGCACATGAGGACGCGCAGCTTCTTGTCGTCGGCGGCTTGTGGGTCGGCACGCGCGCTCAGACGCAGGACGTCTTGAACGAAGCAGGTGACGCTTTCGGTGGGGCCTTGCGTCCTCGTCTGAAGGAGGTCCTCGGCTCTCTCCCTTCGGTGCTGATTGGCGAACGGCCCTCGGATCTCTCCTTTCAGCTGGTCCCATGATGTAATCGAAGTTTCATGATTCTCGAACCAGTGTTGCGCCGTGTCCTCGAGAGAAAAATAGACGTTTTGCAGACGCTGTTCCGGAGTCCATTGGTTGTGCAGCGCCACCCATTCCTATTGCTGCAACCAATCTTCGACGTCTTCGTAGATCTCGCCGTGGAAAGACGTCGGCATTCGAGGGGCCATGGGCAGGTAAACGACGGGGGGTGCTGCTGTGGTCTGCGCCGTCGATGAAGCCATCGTCATTGTCGCTTGCCTTGTCCACGCCGGGAGTGGTCCGAGTTCAGGAGCTTGACCTTGAAGACGGCGGCTGGCACGATACTCCGAGTCTTCAACGGAGGGTCATCGGGAAAGGGGGCTTGCTGAACGTGTTCTTGTAGGGGTACGCTGCACGGGTTTCATACCACGCACCTTGACCAAAATAGTGGAGGTGCGGGGTGTGAAACCCGCGCAGCGTCGGAGGTGCGCCAAACCGACGTAGCGAAGCACCGCATCGCTACCGAGGACGACGCGCGCCCTGTGCATTGATCGCCGTACAGAGTCACCACTAAAGAAAGGGAGGTGAATCAGGAGCAAGTTCAAGAGATGCTGAACGACGACATAATCCAACCTTCAAGCAGTCCGCGGGCGACTCCAGTAGTGCTGGTTAAGAAGAAGGACGGAACGCTAAGGTTCTGCGTGGACTACCGGCAGCTGAACGCGGTGACGAAGAAAGACGTCTACCCAGTCCCCCGCATCGACGACACTCTAGACCGGCTGCGCCACTCTCGATATTTCTCATCGATGGACCTGAAGAGCGGCTACTGGCAGATCGAAGTCGACGAACGGGACCGAGAGAAGACAACCTTCGTCACGCCGGATGGACTGTACGAGTTCAAGGTGATGCCCTTCGGACTATGAACGGCGCCAGCAACTTTCCAGCGTGTCATGGACACAGTACTGGCAGGGCTGAAGTGGCAGAGCTGTCTCGACTACCTCGACGACGTCGTAGTGTTTTCCAGCGACTTCGACGAGCACTTGCAACGACTCAGAGCTGTTCTCCAAGCCATCCGAACCGCCGGACTCACTCTGAAGCCGTCAAAGTGTCGGTGCGCCTATGAGGAACTGAAGTTCCTAGGCCACGTGGTTAGTAACGAAGGCGTCCTCTCAGACCCCAAGAAGACCCGCGCCGTCCGGCATTTCCAGCACTGACAGACAAGAAGGCCGTGCGAAGATTCCTTAGACTTTGTGCCTACTATCAAAGCTTCGTTCGGGATTTCACAAGGATTTCCGCACCACTCACAAAACTCACGAAGGACGCCGAGAAGTTCGAATGAGCCGAGGAGCAGCAGCAGGCATTCGACGAGCTAAAGAGAAGACTCCAGACTCCTCCTGTCCTTGGACACTTTGATCAGGATGCTGAAACCGAGATTCCCACGGACACTAGTAATGCAGGACTTGCAGTGGTACTAGTTCAAGTGCAAGACGGCACCGAGCGAGTCATCGCCTACGCAAGTCGGACGCTGTCCAAATCGGAGAGAAATTACTCCACGTCTGAAAAAGAATGTCTTGCGGTCGTATGGGCAATCACGAAGTTCCGCCCGTACCTGTACGGGAGCCCGTTCCGCGTAGTCACGGACCACCACTCGCTCTGCTGGCTTGCGAGCCTCAAGGATTCGTCAGGAGGCCTCGCTCGATGGACTACAAGAGTTCAACATGACCGTGGTTTACAAGTCAGGACGCAAGCACAGCGACGCTGACTGCCTTTCCAGGGCCTCTGTCGAAACACCTTCCGGCAGTAGTGACGACGATGACGACGAGTGCTTACTAGGAGCAGTGAACACCGGACGACATGGCACGACGTCAACGAGACGATCCGGAGCTGCGCGCCTTAATCGAGCACCTGCAAGGATGCGGGGGTACCGTACCACGTATTTTCTCACGAGCCCTGTCGACCTTTGCCAGTCGACGAGGTGTACTCTACAAAGAGAACTTCGGGGACAACAACTCGCCGTGGCTGCTGGTAATCCCGACCGACCTTCGGGAGGAGATCTTTCAAGCATGTCACGACGACCCGACGTCCGGACACCTTGGTTACAGCCGGACGCTGGCCCGTATTCGTGAAAAGTATTACTGGCCCAAGCTCTCCAAAACTGTCCACCTCTACACCCGATCATGCCACGAGTGCCAGCGACGCAAGAAACCACCGACAAAGCCGGCAGGTCTCCTGCAGCCAATCGCCCCGCCAACTGCACCATTCCAGCAGATCGGAATGGATCTACTTGGTCCTTTTCCACCGCTTTTCTGCCCCTGGGGAACCGTTGGATAATCGTTGCCACCGATTATCTCACGCAGTACGCAAAACGAAAGCCCTTCCCTCGGGGACAGCTGTTGAAGTCGCCAAGTTTTTCATCGAGTCCATCGTACACCGGCGCGGCGCTCCCGAAGTTCTGATTACAGATCGCGGATCATCGTTCATGGCACAGCTGACCCAAGAAGTCCTCCGGCTCAGTCACACCAGCCATCGTCGTAGCACTGCGTACCGCCCGCAGACCAATGGGCTGACGGAGCGACTCAACAAGACAATCGCCGATATGATCTCTATGTACGTCAACGTAGAGCACAAGACGTGGGACGAGGTGTTGCCCTACGTCACGCTCGCCTACGGTACGGCGGTTCATGAGACCACTGGGCTCACACCTTTCGAGCTGGTGCATGGTCGGAAGGTAACGACCATGCTAGACGCGATGCTGCCCCATGAGCCAGCTGACAATGAGAGCCACGACGCCGAGGCGGTTGCTCAACGGGCCGAAGAGGTCCGCCAGCTGGCCCGACTCCTGATTCAAAACCTGCAACGCGTCGAGGCGGGCCGCTACAACCTCCTTCGCAGGGATGTCCACTTCCAGCCCGGAGACAGGGTGTGGGTGTGAACGCCCATCCGTCGTCGCGGCCTCAGTGAGAAACTTC